GGGTCAATCGGGCCTCATGTCGTTGTACGACGCGATGTTCGCTCAATACGGAGTCAAGCTGGCCCAGGTGCTGGTGACCAAGCCGGACTTCTACAACGAGGAGACGCGCAAGAACCTCTTCAGCACGCTCACCGAGCTGATCAGCCTGAACATCGTGCCGATCATCAACACAAACGACGCGGTATCGCCGCCGCCGGTGGTCGACGAGGAAGTCGCCGCCGCTGGCGGTCGCAGAGGTATTTCCATCAAGGACAACGACTCCTTAGCAGCGATGCTGGCGGCCGAGATCCAAGCGAGTCTGTTGGTGATCATGAGCGACGTCGACGGGATCTACAATCTGCCACCTTGGCAGGACGGCGCGAGGATGCTGCACACCTTCAGCTCCGATCACAGAGGTACCATCAAATTCGGCGAGAAGTCGAAGGTGGGTACTGGCGGTATGGATTCCAAGGTGAACGCGGCGCTCTGGGCGATGGACCGCGGCGTCTCGGTGGTCATATGCAACGGCACCCAGGAGAAGGCTATCAAGAGCATCTTGTCGGGCAGGAAAATCGGTACCTTCTTCACGCAGACCACCGGCTCCTCCACCCCTGTCGAGGTGATCGCCGAGAACGGTAATATTCCTTTATTTAATCTTATCTAATCTTTTCCAAAATGTCTTCGTTTCTTCATCTCTTTATTCTCCTCATCTTCTTCTTCTTCTTCTTCTCCTCTTCTCTTATGTTCTCTTCTTTTTCTTCTTCTTCTTCTCTTTTGCTCTTCTCTGTCTTTTATTCTCTCTTCTTTATCGGGAATCTAGTGTTTTGCGGACAGACAAATAGCTTAAAAGCGAAATTTCGCTGCGGGTTCACGTAAGCGCGCATGAACACATTTCTCGATTATAACCCCGCGTGTGCTGTTCGCTCGCTAACGTTTGGCCAAGCGGCGCTTTTATCCGCCCGTAATGCGGCACGAGCCATCGAAATACGGTGTCGACTGTGCACTCTCGGGCGCCCGCATATAAATCCGGAGTATACGCGGCAGGTTTCGCGTGTTTTGCATATTATTAATCCCCTTCGCTGTTGAAAAGTTCCACTCGACGCCACACGCTCGTTCGTTACACGCGAGATATTATTACGGTGACGCACGTGCTCTCCATCCATCCATCCAGGCACTTCTCCGTGCGCGCGCGCTTTACATTTCCAGCTCACGTTCGGATCGAACGCTATTTTCCGCCGGCACTTCGAACGGAACAACAGCGGTCGTCGAGTTTCCCCCGCCGACGGGGGAAATCAGTCTCTACTTTAGATGCCTTCCTCAGCGAAGGTTGGCGATCACTTCGGCGAACTCTTCGCGGTCTTGCGCAAGATGGAGCAATCCCGCTACATATGCTTGAGATTTCCCAGTGCTTCCATATATTCAACAGCCAAGGATGCTTTCTTCTCTGCAAACTCGCGAGCTCGCCATTCATCTTATCCGTCCGTCATGATCGATTGCAGTGGTTCATATCTTCAGCCTTGAATTACGTGTCGACCATGTGTGACGCTTTTCTCCTTTCGACCATGTCGAGACCATGTTTCTTTCTTAAGACTGCTTTTGCCGGAAATCATAATCTTTCTACTACGTTCAGCTTCTTCAAGGGGTCCTCACCGTTGTTGGCCTTACATCGGCCAACATTAATGAAATTCCAGCTCGTGTCGGCAGCCGAACGATGCAGGCGCTACGTCCGGAGGAGCGTGCCGAGTGTATCAACACCTTGGCGGACTTGCTGGAGACCAAGCAGTCCGAGATACTCGCGGCGAACGCGCTGGACCTCGAAGCGGCGAGCAAGGCGAGCCTGGCCAAGGCTCTGATGTCGCGTCTCTCCTTGACACCAGCGAAACTCAAGTCCCTGAGCTCCGGTCTGCGTCAGATCGCGGTAGACTCGCTGAACAACGTGGGTCGCGTGGTCCGCAGGACGAGATTGGCCGATGATCTGGAGCTGCAGCAGGTCACAGTGCCGATCGGGGTGCTGCTGGTGATCTTCGAATCCAGGCCCGACAGTCTGCCGCAGGTGGCCGCGCTGGCCATGTCCAGCGCGAACGGGCTGCTGCTGAAGGGCGGCAAAGAGGCTGCTAACAGCAACAAGTACCTGATGGAGCTCGTGAAGGAGGCGTTGAACAAGTTCGGCGCCGCAAATGCGATCTCGCTGGTGTCCACGCGCGAGGACGTGAGTGATCTCCTCTCGATGGAGAAGCACATCGATCTCATCATACCGCGCGGCAGCTCGGAGCTGGTGCGCACCATCCAGGAGCAGTCCAAGCACATACCCGTGCTGGGACACGCCGAGGGTGTCTGTCACGTTTACGTCGATAAAGACGCGGACCTGGCGAAGGCCATGCGAATCGTTCGGGACTCCAAATGCGATTACCCCGCGGCGTGTAACGCCATGGAAACCTTGCTGATACACGAGAGCCTCATGAGCGGCAGTTTCTTCACAGATGTGTGCAGTATGTTGCAGAGGGAGGGGGTGAGTCGAGCTCTGTTCGCGATGATGTGCAGGAAGAGGAAAGAAGGGAGGGGATGAGAAACGTGCAGTTACCTCGGAATCTTCGCAGACTTTTCTTTCTGTTTCTCAAGAGAATATCAAAGAGATGCGTCGACGGGTCGACTCCGCAAAGGATTAATAAACCGGAGATAATCTGAATGCAAATGTTTCTCGTGACATTTTATTTCGTGTTTGTGAAATTTTCACCGAATCTGTTGCCACCGGGTGTCGCAAAAAGTTTACATTCGAATTACACGTTGAAGCATACATCGATTGCTCGGAGACTTCTTGGAGTTGATCTTCCCCTTTGTGAGACACAGAGATACGTCTGCATATCATACATTTTAACGACGTATGTATCCGTCGGCTCATCTCAATCTCCATCCGTGCCAAAGTCGTCTCTTCGACTGGTCCTCCCCCGAACATTACCTTTCCCCCCTTCCTTATCGAATTTTCCTCACGTGAAATTGTCTTCCAGGTGAAGATCAATTCTGGCCCAAAGCTGAGGGAACTGCTGACCTTCAGTCCGCCGGCCGCCAAGAGCATGCGAACCGAATACGGCGCGCTTGAGTGCACGATCGAGGTGGTCTCGGACGTTGACGACGCCATCAATCATATCCATAAGTACGGCAGCAGTCACACTGACGTCATCGTCACCGAGAAAACTGACGTGGCTGTGCATTTCCAGCGGGAGGTGGATAGCGCTTGCGTCTTCTACAATGCCAGCAGCAGATTCGCGGACGGTTATAGATTCGGTCTCGGGGCAGAGGTAAGCCTACGACATCCCCCGAGTATGAGTATCATATCGAAATCTCGCGAGCTTCCTCGGTTGTGAGTGAATTAAATATGCCTAAATCTTACGGCATCTTTTAATAATTTAATACTTATATTTCTCTTCTTTGTCTTCTGCTAAAGGTTGGCATTTCTACGGCGCGTATACACGCGCGTGGTCCGGTAGGAGTCGACGGCCTACTGACGACCAAGTGGGTGTTGAAGGGCGACGGACACGCGGCCGCGGACTTCGCCGAAGGCGGCAGCAAGAGCTGGCTCCATCAGTCCTTACCTCTGTACGAATCGGTGTGAATTTGGCCGCTTCGAAGCTCCCGTGATCTCGGAACAATGTTGGGAATCGCTCGTCGCAAAAATGGAATAAAATGGAATGCGTCCCTGGGATAAACTAACGCGAACGAGCGGATTTCTCAAAGAAGAAAATCGTATGTTGCGAGACAATGTAAATCAAAATAAGCACACGTGATATGTATACTACTGTTAACTAGTTCTTATTTATACCAAATTGTTCTTGCTGTGTATACGCGTATATTATACGAAAATCGACGACACGAAAAGCAACGATGTAACGAAAATATTGTAAAATTTCGAGTTTTTACGCGTAAAATTAGTATTAATGAAAATAGATATACGACATCGTTTCGAGAAAAGCGATTATAAGAATATAAGCGAAAATAAGAGCGATTGAAGAATTGTTCGAAACTCTCCGATGCCTCGGGAAGGTATCCGGTGTCTTTGACATTATTTTTAATAAATCCCAAGTCCGAGGAGAAACAACAAAGACAGGGCGTCAATTCTCTTTTTCTTTCACTGCGAATAACAACGACAGTCGCAAGAATTCGACACAAGTAGAAGGTTAACATATAAGATAAACATTTATCCGTAAATGCGATCCGTAAATGAGAAAACTGAATTGACTTTCAGAACAAGATCCGTTCCCGGCAGAACGCGACGCAAGATCCACAGCGTACGCGAAAGTTTCAAAGCCCGGCTGTACGTCCAATCCTAGCCCGGGATTTCGGTAAAAGTTCGTTAATAACGTAACGGTGGATTGAAAGAGAGAAAGAAGAGGTGAAGGGGAAGAGAGAGAGAGAGAGAGAGAATCCTCTCGTTTCCGAGGTCGCCCGCGTCTTCAAACGTACTCAGCAAACCCCGAGCGACGAGAGTTCGGATCTAACAGTGAAGCGCGCGTATGCTTGTTCGCTTTGTCGAGAACGATAGGAAACGTCGGCACAACAGCGCGGTGCGCCTATTGAACGGCCAGTTGCCCTAGTTATAAATAACGTCGAAAGTTTACGTGCGATTATAAGACCTATTTCACGGAAGACGTATTTTCGACACACACATTACAACAGCACGAGTTTTAATCGCACACGCTCCAGCTGATCGGGCGGCTGCAATCGAGCGCGCTATATACTTGAAAGTGAAGAACTGCCGCATGTAACACATGTTACCTCACACGTTATAACATCGCAATGTCGCTATTTATATCAATACGCGTTGTTGAAAGTGTTCTTCTTTTATTCTGACCATATGATACAAAGATGCACGTGCGATCGCAATGAGGATTATTGCAGTATCAAGTTTATGCTTCGCGCGTGGAAAATTGTTTATTATAACTTACACAGGACCGGCGAAGCGGACTCTTGTTTCTTTTCTATTATTATACTTCGCACGAGTATTATATTACATATGTGTATTTTTCACCTGTCGTGAACACGTGTCAGGCTTCTGCCAAGAATTCTGCGTACATTGCACATTTCATTCCGGTGCCCATAGTTTAAACGTTCTGTCGTACGAGCTGGTCGCGATGAACTTGTGATCAGGCGACACGTCGACGGACATGACCTTACCGTCGTGTCCCGGCAACATCTTGAGCGGCTGCCAAGTCTTGTTGGACCAAATCTTGGCGGTATTATCGTACGACGCGGTCACCAAATATTGCCCCTCTGTTCTCTGGTACTTCACGTCCGACAACAAATTTGTATGCGCCGGTATCGTGTATATGCAGGTGCGCTTCCGCAAATCCCATATCTTGCAAGTGTTATCTTCGCTCGCGGTGGCAATGTGGAAGCCGTTCGGCGAGAAATCGATACCGAAGATGGACCTCAAGTGACCTTCCATGAACATGATGCACCTGCCGGTACGTAAGTCCCAAACCCGACCGAATGAATCGTGACCGCCTGTAGCGCAAACGCTCCCGTCGCACTGAAAACTGAATGAAGGAGCGAATAAGCAGCAGAAGTCAATAATTTCACCAAGCAATCGTAAATAAATGTATACCTGATGCAATGTACAGGTCGCGCATGGCCCTCTTGGTGAAGCACTTCCGCCTGTTGCTCCAAGTCCCACAATCTCCAGGACGAATCGTGGCAACACGTACCGAGAAATCGTCCAGACGGATGAAAAGCTATCCTGGATACTCGGTTAGGCTCATGTCCCTCCACTTCTGCCAGCGGCTCTTCGCCATTGCCACCGCTCCACAGTTTCACTGTACCTGTTAGATGCAATGCATTCACAATGTAGACACAGCAAAAGTATCTTCTTCGGGTGTATATATCGTGATTTGCAAAATGGTACCGTAAAAGCGTACCGTCAGTCGCGCAAGACGCCAACACGCAAGTCTGGCCCGCGTTCTCACCTATCACATCTTCGGTTATCGTAGCTTTTGGGTGAAAAACAATACAGCCAACATTACAAGCGTGTCCTTTTAAAGTGCGCAACAAAGTACAGTCGGGTACAGACCATAACTTGCACAAGCCTGACCACGAAGCCGTAACGAGAATCTGTGAATTCGGGCTGAATTGGCAAAAGGAAATGGGCCTCGTGTCGCCGATTTGAGAGCAATAGATGCTCAATGCTTGCAACTTCTTCAGAAGTTCTTGTCTTCTCGCTGTGCGAGTCGCAGCTGGCAATTCGAGATCCAGTCGTGCCCTTTCCAGCCGTGCTTTTGCTCTGGGCAATGAATATGCTACAGGTCGGAAGAAAAAACATTATTATTACCAAAGTTGTCCAACATCTGCAGCTTACAGTACAAAAGCATATTACGCTCTGATTTCATGCAAAATGGAAAGACAGAGTACAATAAAGACTCACAGGCTATCCATGATCGGGCAATTTGTAAAGAATCTGGGCCCTCATGATACCACGTGTTCTCTGTGTCTCTTTCAATTATGTGAGACGGTTTCTCTTCCTCTTCATGCTTCTTTTTAATAGCATCCTCACCAACACTGGCTAACAATTCTCTCAGTCTTGTTCTTCTATCTGCAGGACCTTCTCCAAACAGGCAGATAGGTTCGCCCAATTGCCTCAAGTGTTTCTTCACTTCTGAGTCATCCGTGGAAACATTGATTTGTCTAGCTTTCTTTCTACGTTCAAATTCCTCCAGCAATGCTTGGCGATCCTTGGACATCTCCTCCTCCAGCTCCATATACTCATTTGAAATGTGTACATTCCCAGCTGAGATGGAAGCATTGGTGATATCATCCGTAGTCGTGACATCCTTCTCACCATCTGTAACTTCAACAGCAGCTGCAAGCCGAGTACGTTCTGCTTCCTCCAGCGAGCCATAGTGCACAGTTTTCTGTTTCTTCACGTAAACTAAATCCTCGTCGTCGGACATCTTTTGAGGTTATGATTAACCGGCGAGAGTTTTTCGTTATTTTGCCTATCGAAATATCGTATAAATTATTATTCATGTAAAATGAAGTTACTAAATTTACAAACGATGAAAAATATCGAGAACGATGGAGCGGAAAGGAGTCTCAATTTTATGACCAATTAGATGTAGAATGTATGTTGTACAAAGACATAACGAATAAAATACGAATAAAGTCGTTGATAATACTTACGGAGTAATTAATACGAAGTAATTAATCACTACAATTGTAACTTATCACAATATATTATATTTATGTACAAATTTGTATTACAGAGTTGTTATTTTTTTAAAGAGGTTAACACACTGTTAATCATACTGTTGAAGAGATCTGTCCTTTTTAGAAGAACTTGCTGCACTTGTGCTTGAAATTTGTTGAATTGAACCGCGAAAACAGAATGTTTCATGAAAATAGCATTATATATCATATAAAAATATAATTTTTTCTCTTTAATTTGCATATCAGTAGGTCTCTGATTTATTTTTATCATCAAATTATTCAATGGGGCAAAAATTCCCTTTCGGTCTTAATCGTTCACAGAAGAACGAATTGATGTATGACATTCGTTAAAAAATAAATAAAAAGCTTGAAGTCCTCTGTTTACAATGCGTTTATTAAATTTTTCATATAAATAATTTTTCCATGTACGATTTTAACCGGAAGATGAAATTAAAATTTAAAAGGTTGCCATTTCTCATTTAATTCGATGTAATTTTGCAATAAATAACGTCAGCATTATTAATATATCTCAAAAGAGATTTGAGATTTTAAATTGCAAAATGCTATTTAAACTATCTCAAGTAGTGTTATTTCTATCGCAGTTACAATTTGTTGAATTTTAGCTATTTTCCGGTATAAAATAAAAAATAGCTACACGCGGCAAGTTCTCGTCTGATTAAATATTGAATTGTATTACTATCTCGATTCGGCGTTAAGGTAAGTGGCGGCTCGTAGCGGAAGCTTCGGAACTAATTTTCAGAAATAACGGGTCTAAGAATCAGACTCTACAGAATTAGACCCCTTATTTACTTTCACGATACAACGGGTCTAATAATGACCGGCTTATTTGACCTCTTATTTTCGACCGATAGCAGGTTTAAAGAATGGTCAATCATAATTGACTTTTTCAATTCGAATCATTGAAATATTCTCTGAGGGCCATAGCACATGAAATGACATAGATGCATATGTATAAATCCAGCGGCACACGGTGCTTGTTTTCATGCTGGATTGCTTGCTGGATGAAAATACTGCATTCTGATTGGTGCATTTCCGAAGATGGATGGAAATGCACCAATCAGAATGCAGTATTTTCATCCAGCAAGCAATCCAGCACAAAAACAAGCACCGTGTGCCGCTGGCTTGACATAAGAACTTATAAACCAATGAGCATTGTAAATCAATATGGCGACTTAATACTCGATGCTCATTGGTTCATAAACTCTTATGTTATACATATACCTATGTCATTTTATGTGCGATGGTCTTAACGTGTTTTAAGGGGTCTAAATTAGTCTAAATTTAGTTAAGCCAGCGACATACGGTGCTTATTTTTGTGCTGGATTGCTTGCTGGATGAAAATACTGCTGATTTGCATTTCCATCCATCTTCGGAAATGTACCAATCAGAACGCAGTATTTTATCGAAAATAACGGGTCATATCGAGCCATTCACCTTAGACCCGTTAGCAAATAACGACAGGGAGAACTTGTCAGCCTTTTTCTACTCTATCTCTAAAAATATACACAAAAATAATTTAACAGGCTATGACTACGGTAAAAATAATGTTATTGAGATCGTTCAAAAAGCATTTTGCAGCTTGAGGTTCACAAACATCATTATTATCATTTTTTCTACTAAGATCATCAAATTAACTCTTTTACTGCCAATCTGCTGATATATCGGCTCTTGATGCTTATGCGAATAATGCAACCGGCTGGATCATCACCCTGTTTGTTTGTGTTTAGATCATCTCTCCTTTGAATGTCAAAAAGCATGTATCAAAACAACCATTGCATTTTTTGCATATTTGAAGCTGGCAGTAAAAGCATTAAGTGAGAAATAGTATACCTTTCTGTAATTAATCGCGTTTTTCAGTTAAAGTTTCATACGAAAGAATTATTTGTAAGAAAAATTTGTTCAATTCATCAGTTAAAATCATAATCCATCTCGACAAGTCAGGACTCTTTTCTTAAATGTATGACTCAACAATTAAATAAACTTTTATCTCCAAGCATTAGCGCAACTAAATATTGAATCGAATATACCTCGGTCTTTATGAACAACTGATTTTAGATTGAAAAATCCCAATTTCAAGGGTTGAGTTGTTAAAATCTAATAAACCACGCAGTTTAAATTTAAGGCACAAAAATGTTATATATTGGAATAAACTATCTAGAGATTTATTATACATTTAAACTATATTAAAGCGATTTTAGAACTGTTCTATTACTTGAGTAGTTCTTTCTAATAGAGACAAACTTATGTCTTATAATTCAAAACCGAAATCTTATATTAACGTTTTCACGAAACAATCGTCCAAACAAATATTCACAATTCCATCTATCCACGTAGATTTCTATTACTTTATAGTCATGTTTTTTGAATATTTATAAATTCGTTTGACAATAAGTCCACTTCAAGTTATCTAGCACGATTCGAAAGGATATCAACATTATATTATTGGTGGCCCTGAAAAGGGCCGTTTGGTCAGTGCTCGTTCACTTTGAGCTAGTATACTTGGTAACAGCCTTTGTCCCTTCACTGACAGCGTGCTTCGCCAATTCACCAGGTAGCAGGAGCCTCACGGCGGTCTGGATCTCCCGAGAGGTGATGGTAGAGCGCTTGTTGTAATGAGCCAATCGCGATGCCTCGGCAGCAATGCGCTCGAAGACATCGTTAACAAAACTGTTCATGATGCTCATGGCTTTGCTGGAGATACCGGTGTCAGGATGGACCTGCTTCAGTACTTTGTAGATGTAGATAGCATAGCTCTCCTTCCTCTTCCTTTTCTTCTTTTTATCGGTTTTGCTGATATTCTTCTGAGCCTTCCCAGCCTTCTTTACAGCTTTGCCGCTAGCCTTAGGTGGCATGGTCGATCTTCGCTGAGATAAGTCGTACGCTGAACAATTCGACAATGAAGTCAAAGAGCGAGTGAACGCGGTTCCTTCGACGCGCTCTTATATAGCGACAGGCGACAGCAGCGCCGACCAATCACGTGCGAGATGCGTCCGAGCGCAGCTGTCCTGCAGCGCCATTGGTCGACGCTGGGTGTAGCGAAACGGTATAAATACGGCGCGTGAAGCATCCACGGCACAATTCTCTCAGCTCTCGAGCATTTCGTATCGAGCGTCATAGCGTACTACTTTATTTGAGCGACATGTCTGGCCGTGGTAAGGGAGGCAAGGCGAAAGGAAAGGCGAAGTCTCGTTCCAACCGAGCTGGTCTACAGTTCCCTGTGGGTCGTATCCACAGACTTCTTCGCAAAGGCAACTACGCCGAGCGAGTTGGTGCTGGTGCGCCAGTTTATCTGGCTGCTGTGATGGAATACTTGGCGGCTGAAGTGTTGGAGTTAGCTGGAAACGCCGCTCGTGACAACAAAAAGACCAGGATCATTCCGAGGCATTTACAACTAGCCATCAGGAATGACGAGGAGCTGAATAAACTGCTCTCTGGTGTCACGATTGCTCAAGGTGGCGTACTGCCCAACATCCAAGCAGTCCTCTTGCCGAAGAAGACCGAGAAGAAGGCATAACTTGAAACATCGAAAACATCACAAATGGCCCTTTTCAGGGCCGCAAATCTTTCAAAACGTGGGAATTCCAATTTGCAATTAGCTCTAAGAATCTAACCTCATTCCTCCACTCCTGTTGGAACATTTTAAGTTGCCTAATTATAACATGAAGTACAGAGAAATGTTTATTTTAAATGACATACTTGGTTATCACTCTCAATTTAGCTCAAGTTAACTACATTTCGTCATACTTGCATTAGACAAATATCAAAATGTTTTGAAATATTTCACAATTGGTATTATTAACCTATACAAGAGAAAACATTTATAAATAATCTTACAAATTTCTAGTTAGTCAATGTTGCTTATGAGAACAATCCAAGAACTATTAAATCATTTTAATAAAGAAATATACACAATCACTGTCTTCAAACCCAAGTTAACGGTTTTTAGATCTTAAATTCACGTAATTTGTTTTGTGATTAAATGTGCACTTAGCTACATGTATTTAGTTCACATACGATGAAACAAATCTCTAATTTGATATTTATTTATGTTTATGAGAACAAACTGAGAATTATTAGATAATTTCAATAAAGAAATATACACGATCACTGTCTTCGAACTCAGGTTAACCGTTTTCAAATCTTAAATTCACGTATTGTTCTGTGGTTAAATGTGTTAGATTAAGTGCGATGAAATAAATTTATAATTTAATATTTGATGCTTAATATTTGATTTAATTATATGATGCTTATAAGAACAAACTAAGAATTATTAAGTCATTTCAGTAAAGAAATATACACGATCGTGTCTTTAAACCTAGATTGAATGTTTTAGCTCTTAAATTCACATAACTTGATTATTCTGTGGCCAAGTATGTACTTAGCCACATGTATTTAATTCACATATGATGAAACAAATCTATAATTTGATACATCTAGTTCACATACGAAAGTAGATAATTAAAAGAATCTGCGAAAAATAGTTAAATATTTCAAATATAGTATTATATTTGTACTTATAAGAACCAAGTTAATCTCAAATAACAACCGAGTTAAATGTTAATTGAAATCTTACTTGTTCCAAATATAAAATCAACTTCAGACTCGATTTTGGTTAATAGAACGATTACATTCCTTTGTTATGTGAAATCACCAGACTTACAACCTGTTTATTGGATTTTTATTCGAAGACAGAAATTGACTCGTATTCTTTCATTTCATATAATCCTCTAATTTATAAAGTTAAGCTCTATATATTTTGCATTTCGTACTAACTAATTACATTGCTTGTTCATGATTGGAAATTGCAATATGTGTATACGTATATTCTAATAATATTATATTTCTATTTATATATTTATGGACCCAGTTGAACTCGAATAACAACTGAGCCAAATGTCAATTGAAATCTTATTTGTTCCAAATATAAAATCAACTTTGGACTTAATTTTGGTTAGGTGCATATTGAATGTTAATATGATTTATATTTACAAGATACATTTCATAGCAGGATTTATGTTTAATTCAGATATATGTTAAGAACATACTTGATTAAATTACTTTTGAATTTAATATTTGGTTTTTATTTGAGTTTAGCTCGGTTCAAAAAAGGACAAATATGAAATATATTTAAAACACGTAACTTTTTCACGGAAATAAACATATTATTGAACATTAAATTAATTACTGAAGCAATAATTACTTTTTCTACTCAATAAGCAAGATATAGTGATTCAATTACGGAATCTGAACGCAATAATTTAACGTGAAAATTCTACCGAGGTTTAGAAAAAATCAATAATGCTCCATGTGACTGCGAATGCTCGTTCTTCCAAGCACACTCGATGTATAAATGCACTTGGCTCTAAACATCCAAGTTGTTTCATGATGCACAATCTATTGAAAAATTTGTGAGGTACACACAAATGCACACATATTACAATTTCCAATCATGTACAGGCAATGTGATTAGTTAGCACGAAATGTAAGGTATATAGAGCTTAACTTTATGAATTAGAGGATTATATAAAATGAAAGAATACGAGTCAATTTCTGTCTTCGAACAAAAATCCAATAAGCAGGCTGCAAGTCTGGTGATTTTACATTTCACCAAAGAAATGTGATCGTTCTATTCGAATATCATATGTTACTTCAATCTATAGTCGATTGAATAACTAACACATATTAAATAGCATTAAGTTTCTAAAACAAAGCATATATATCCAGAGTTAAAGAGTAAACGAAGCTCAAGTGGACTTGAGACATTCTGAAAAGCGGATACTTGAATACGTAAACTGACGATAAAACAAGCTGATATAAAAAGAGGAAATGGCAGAAGGAAAAAGGCACTTGCAGGATGTGAGTATTTTATTTGTAGTTTATTGCGCAGTTTACTTGTAACTATTGCCACAAAAGACATTATAAAAGACCGAGAGATATTTCCCGCAGCAACGAAACGATAGATAAATCTTCGAGATTAATCAAACGCTTCTGACACTTATCAAGTATTGAACGCCACGTTCATATCTCGGGGCGTCATTTTTTCTTGTTGCCTCACTCACGAGGAGCACCTCGTAACTACAAATCGATGGCGTTCGGAATTAACAACAGGAACAGAGCATTGTGCTCTTCGTTCTCCGTGTAACGAGAAAATACGTGCGCGATGCGATACGCGCGTAAGGTGGCCATATTACTCATCGTACTATTCGTAGGTTTTTGCCCCTCGTTGTACACGCCAAGAAAATAATTTATACATATATCGCGTGAAAAACGACGGTGTAATGTTTCATTGGTTGACATCGTGCTGTTATGAGGACGTTAGACTGGAATAACGACGAGCGTTCTGATTGGCCGGTGGCGCTAGGGTGGGGAGACTTCCGCGGCACGGATATAAAAGAGGGTGCCGGTGGCAGCGAGCGTTATTCGAGTTCTGCTCGTTCTGCAGGTAGATTCTGTGTTCGAACTAGCGATTCAAGATGACTGGTCGTGGTAAGGGAGGAAAGGGATTGGGAAAAGGAGGAGCGAAGCGTCACAGGAAAGTTCTTCGCGATAACATCCAGGGTATCACGAAGCCTGCCATCCGTCGTCTGGCTCGTCGTGGTGGTGTGAAGCGTATCTCCGGCTTGATTTACGAAGAAACTCGCGGTGTGCTGAAGGTGTTCCTCGAGAACGTCATCCGCGATGCTGTCACCTACACCGAGCACGCAAAACGGAAGACCGTCACCGCCATGGACGTCGTATACGCCCTGAAACGCCAAGGCAGAACCCTGTACGGCTTTGGTGGATAAACGAAGAACCGTGCAGCCTTCCAACAAAACAATCGGCCCTTTTCAGGGCCACAAATTAATCAAACGTTTGGTCAACTCTCACTCGCTGCATTCTCATACAATATTAACAGCAAACATGTAGAGCATATTTACTACGAAGCTCGAACGAATAGATGAGGAAAATATGCAATTTAAAATTGCTTATTAATCTATTTTAAACGTACCGTGTATACGAATACATGATGGATAAGCTGAACACATTGATTAAACATTAAAATATATACAATCTAACCAAGAAATGATACTGAATTTCTTCTCGAGAATAAGAATTTAAATTTCGTTGAAAGTATCACTAATCGAATATGTCAGCGACTCCTACATTCATTATCAGATTTTAATATTCAGAAAAGTAAATCGTTTGTACTCGATACAAATATTTCGAAATAATTTACATCATGAAAATCTGGATAGCTTTTTCAGGGGTCATAAAATTATTAAAGTATGAGGCGTAACAAGCAAAAGTTCCAGATATTAATTTAAGAACTTACATGTTTTCTAAAATAAATGAGTATTGTATATATATTGGGAAGTTTTTGCAATACTGTCTTTCAGATACGGTAAACGTAAACCGTGAATGCGCTATTGATTATATACATTACGATGCATTGCTATTTCTGCGAATAACTTTCACGATTTACATTTACACATTTGAGAAACGGTATTGCAAAAGTCCCTGTTTTCTAAAATAAATGAGTATGGCAGCGAATATTTGTATACGTCGCTATAAATTTCTAACGAAACAGTGAAATCAATATAATTATAGTTTACATGTTCTGTAACTTTATATCTAACCTTAGCATTTAAGAAAATTGCAAGCTATTTCGTTTATTACAGAGCGCATCTTTCAAGAGAAAGATGAAACCAGTTGTACAAATACGTATTCGAATAAAAATTCGAGATTTTAAAAGCAGTCGTGACGAGAACGTTAATCATTTATGAATATAACATATCTTATTTAAGTTTTATCACACGTTTCGGATTATTTTTTATAAACATGATCTTACTATAGTACAAAACGTTGTTACCAAGTGATACCTAATGTGGTCATCGACTTGTATGTAATGGTATTAATTTTTCGTATATATATCGTATATATATTCTATATAAATGAGCAATTCTAAATAAAAATGTAATTAAATCAGTTCAATTGTATTAGCAATAACATTAATTATCACTAACGTAGATTAAACTTCAACCTAAATTTAAACTGTTGAAAAATTCCATTTTATAAATTATTCACACTCAAGTTAAAGTTTAATTGATATTGATAGGAATATATATATATATATATACACATAAATTAGAAAAATTCTGTTAGTAATTACATTTAAAGTTGAAAATGTATTGAAGATGAAATATGACTTAAATGACTTAAATTTGACCTAAATTTAAACTATTTAAATTCTATTTGATCTACTTTAAACTATTCAAATTAAAGTTTAATTGAAATTGATAGGAATGGATATATACAAATTAGAATAACTATTCTATTAGTAATTACATTTGAAGCATATTGAAACATGTTGAGTTATCAGTTTGATAACAATGAAGATGAAATAAATTACTTAAATTCGACCAAAGTTCGATTCAATTTCAAATTTATTCAAATTCTATTTTATCTATTCTACTTTAAATTATCTAAGCTCAAGTTAAAGTTTGGTCGATATTGATAGAATATGGATATACAAATCGGAATAATTATTTTATTAATTATAATTAAAGTTTAAAATATATTAAAGATCAAATAAATGTACAAAAACAGGGGAACATGAATTTCATGATTCATTGCGAATGAGATATTCATCGAATGAGAAATTGGTGGCCCTGAAAAGGGCCGATTGAAATGTTTTTAATTAAGCACGTTCTCCACGGATACGACGTGCAAGCTGAATATCCTTCGGCATGATGGTGACTCGCTTGGCGTGGATAGCGCAAAGGTTGGTATCTTCAAACAAACCAACGAGGTAAGCCTCGCTGGCTTCTTGAAGGGCCATCACAGCCGAGCTCTGGAAACGAAGATCAGTCTTGAAGTCCTGAGCGATTTCACGAACAAGACGCTGGAAAGGCAATTTGCGGATCAAGAGTTCCGTGCTCTTCTGGTAACGACGGATCTCACGAAGAGCCACCGTTCCAGGCCTATAACGATGAGGTTTCTTCACTCCACCAGTAGCAGGCGCACTCTTACGAGCTGCCTTGGTAGCCAACTGCTTTCGGGGGGCCTTCCCACCGGTGGATTTACGAGCAGTCTGCTTGGTACGTGCCATTTCTCTCAGAGAGTCACTTCGATCGTCACGCTTGGCGTACGAATGGGTGACTGCTCTCCTCGGAGCACTCTATTTAACGACGTCGGCCGCGCGAACCCGCGCGCTGATTGGCCGCAGCGCCGGTGGTAGGGAGGCACGAACACACCGGCCAATCAGAGGACTCGGTGTAGCAGCTGCTGCGTTTCAACGGACGCTTGCACTCCGAGCATACTTCACTGCTCTGGTATTTCCGATCCCAAATGTCGCTTTATGATTTTTTCACATCTTCTCATCGTAGAACTCTTAATGAGAATAATTATGAATCATTATGAGGGAAGATGCCGACGAACTCGTTCGTCGGAGATGCGTCGCAGTTGTGCGAAACGCATCGAGAAAAATTTCAATAATGCTTATTTATGTTTATGCAAAAGTTTACCTTGTGAACTTTTCATTTGAATGTATGAAGAAATCCCATTGTGTAAATATTTCAGCTCGTTCGAGTTCCCTGAACAAAATCAGATATTCGGAGATCAGTGATACTCCATGCGATTCGAATAGACTCTTTTAGATAATGAACAAATAAATTGCTTGTGACTTGAGTTACGCCCAATGAACCAAACGCTCTCGGGTACTCGTGTTAGATACAACAGAGATACTCGAAACGAATACTCACTGCCGAGAGATTTAAAATCTTTCGCGACAATTCGTTCGTGTCTATATTGATTCTCTGGGCGATTTCACTATTATTTCACACAGTGACTTTAATAGAATTAATAAAACTTAATAAAATTTCAAGTTTGGATAAATCGATATTGAGAAGCGCGAAATATGTATAGAATGAGATATTTCGTCTTATTCAAAATCGGCGCTCGCGGCACGTTAAAGTTGCATCGAAGTTGTACTTTTCAATAATAGTGAGATATGCGATAATTACTTGTTGTAAAGTATAAACTTCACTTACTTACTTTCTCTGAAACCTTTGTACTTGAAGATACTGATAAACTCTTAAAAGTACATGTGACGCGTAATCTATATTAGACAACATTGTTTATCAAGACTTATATTTACTTGCTTTAATCTAGACAATAAAATGGTGCTTAAAGTAACATAAGATAACAATTGTTGTGTATAGGTCTATACGAACGAAATAGCGATGAATGTGCACATTTTCGTGTTTGAGCTTAATCGTAACTTTGTGTGCTTCCAAGAGTTTCCAAGAGATTACAGATGACGGGGTAAATTACGGGTTAAAAACTACGCATCACGCTTCAAATTGATGTAATTTACATAATTGAAGAGCAAGAACTGTTGAACCAATTTGAAAAAAACATTTTGCAAATGACGTCGATGAAAATTCGTTGTCGATGAAATAAATCACGTCAGCATTAATTAGCTTGTAATTTCCTTCTAAATCTATGCAAGATATTTTTTTAAGTTACGGGTATATATATATATATATATATTGCGCGCGATAATTACGACACTCTCAGCAAAGTTCGATGATGAAGAATGACGCGGAAAATGCTAAGCAATCAGGCAGCAGTCTTTATATTTCGGTTAAATACGACTGTATTAAAGTTTATTCAAATATATATATATATATATATAAATATATAAAATCACTGCATTTTTCATCGCATGAAATGTTCCGTCTGTGAATACGAACTGTCGCTAATTTACGAACACAAACGTAAAACCCAGGAAAACAGGTCATTTGTATCATTGGCAGCGATAGAATTTTCACTGCAAATTCAACAAAAGTATCTTTTGAAAAGCAGAGCAAGCAGCGTATACGCTTTGTTATAAACATCAATTCGACCAGTGCCCAACACTCAAACAGCGCGTTGGAGATAAGTATATTCGTCGTAATGACGTTGCAACGTAACGCTCGGAACGCTCATGAATTTCCATTTTAAACGACTGATAACGAGAGCTCAACAATGTAATCGATTTCAGACCGAAAATGCGAAGAAATGCGTAAATCAGTCGAAACTCTCGACTTTTCCGATCGATAGGTGGACGCGCGCGGTATTTCGCGTTCTTTCGATCACGCACGGCTCGGCGTGATCGGAAAAGCAAGGATGATCCGCAGGACGAAATCGCGCCTCGCGGATTCGCGGATTTTCCCGATAATCGAGCGTGCGTCGCGCACGCTCGTCGTTAATCGGACGTTATTTTTCACGAAGACGAATCTCTGCATATTACATAGGCTAGCTTGTCGCACTGTTGACGCGAGGACGAGTAACGTTTTAGCGTACGGCGCCAATCGACGGCTCGTGTGTTACCGTCTATACGGTGTTTTCGTGTACGAATTTCACAATAACACGGCCAACTTCGCAAGGTGATTACGTATGCACTCGCCCCGACCGATAATGGCATTTTACAGCGTTCGGTAAAATTGTCTGCAAATGTACTTTATAATCGGTATTCACATTGTGTTGCACCAACGCTTGTATTCTGCCATCCGCGAAAGTTGCTTTTTTCCGCGCGAATATGGTATCTCGCTCGGCTTGCACGCCTGCGATCGGTTAGCACAGCTATCACGACGTTCCGTAAGCCGCATATGCTCCTCGTGCATCGATAATTAAATTGTTTATTAACTTATTTCTCGAGTTGTATCGTCGGACGCGAACGAATCGGGTGCGCGCGTCGCACGGAACGGCGAAAAAAGCGGCGTATATCGATCGCGAGCGGCCGGCAAAGCGTATCAATCGAAAGCAGCTACTTGCTGCTACACATCGGTGTGCCGATTGCATGACCTTCATTGTACAAAATATTGTTTAAACGACGAACAATTGCCGGCCGGTCTTTCATTCCCAGCGACATGTTACCTGCAACATTGGGAGGGCCTCTCTCCATGGTCCGCGCTCGTAGTACAAGAGACGCGCCGGACGGCAGTAGCGGCGAATAGAGGCATCTGTGAACGTTCGGAACGTTTATATTTGTACTTTGTCTTCAGTCGACTATCGTTTCTTCTTTAGCTCTCAACCGCTATGGAGGATAAGAACGCGTCTGGAAATACCGCGGCGGTGGAAAACGCAGCCGCTAACTCTCCACCGGCGAAAAAGGCAGCCAAGTCCAAGGCGAAGACCCAACGGCCGAAGTCGTCGCACCCGTCGACGGCCAAGATGGTTACGACTGCTATCAAGGAGCTGAAGGATCGCAAGGGCTCATCCGTGCAGGCGATCAAGAAGTACATCGCCTCGACGTACAAGGTCGACGGCGAGAAGTTCGCACCTTTCATTAAGAGGTACTTGAAAGCAGCGGTGACGTCGGGCGTTGTGGTGCAGACCAAGGGCAAGGGTGCGTCGGGTTCGTTCAAGTTGGCAGCTGTCAAGACCAGCTCGGAGGAAAAGGAGAAGCGCACCACGAAAAAGACCACCATGGCCACGAAGAAGACCACTCCGAAGAAGAAGGCCGTGGTAGCGAAGAAGGCGCCAGCGGAGAAGAAGCCGACACCGGCCAAAAAGACCCCGACCGAGAAGAAGCCGGTGGCACAGAAGAAGACCGCCAAAACAGCGGCGGCGAAAAAGGTCGAGGCTGCGGCGAAGCAGAAGGCAGCCGCGCAAGTGAAGAACCTGTCCAAGACCAAGAAAGCCACCAAAGCACCGGCCGCCAAAACCAAAACTCCAAAACCAAAAACCGCCAAAGCTGCCCCGAAGACCCCGAAGGCAGCGAAAAAATAATTTTCTGATACAGATACAATTGGCCCTTTTCAGGGCCCCAAATCTCTCACACGTTGAACTTACCTCGCAATCGCTCTACATCCTGCTTTACATTTCGCTCCTTCGAATCAAAGATCATAATAAATTTGTACAAAGATCTCTCTCTCTCTCGATAAGAAAACGTTGAAAGTTGGATTATATTAGGTTAGGTTTATAGAAATGAATTGTAGATTATTTGCTATATTTTTATTTATTTACAATTCTCAAAAAGCGCAAACAAACCATCGAATTGAACGTGATGAAATCTTCCATTCTTAGCTTGTAGCTTGATTATACTTGATAATTTTTATTCCACTCGGCTATTTTTTAATAGCGCATCGCAGTGACAAAACAATAGACGATCATGAATAGGACTACCCCAAAGTATTTCCATAAGATCTCGCGTCATCTGTTTACCTTTAGAAAAGTCGCACGCTATACATTTCCGAGGATCGAGAGCAACAGATGATTAGTTTCCATCTATTTGATTTCAAATCGCAATTTATAACCTGTATGTTTAGAACGCGATACATCATTGGGAAATGTTACACGTGAACGAGTCGATCGTATTGCAGTTGGAAACTTTTTTCCCCGCGATAGACAGAGATCTCGCGTAGCAACAGCGCCGTGATTGATCCGAGTGCGTACTCCTCGTGTGTGAATCGCATTCCTGCGGGCCGCAAAAGCGTAGTCGGGGCATTGCAGAAAATTCAGTTGAACTGGCACCGTGCGATATTATTCTCGTGCGTTTAGGATTTTTCCGGATAAGCAGGTGTTTGCGGAGCGCAGCCGTGATTGATTTACCTGAGCGCGCGCGTGTATACTTTCCCTAGCCGTTCTTGACTGCGTGGTCGGCTCTTCGTCAGCAAGTCAATAACTTTTGGGGCGAGAGAAAGTCGCTGAAAAATTGGTTAAATTAATAGGTTAAATAATACACGGCACGCGAGACTGTGATTCAGCGAGACGCTTCTGCGACATTTCGACGACGCAGATTCGGTCTTGAAGAAAATCGCGAGCGACGTCGTGCGCCGCACGTAACCCCCCCCCCCTCCTCCCCAACTCGGCTCCGTTGTAACCCTTTGCAGGAGGAGAACGTGACGGAAAATAGCTTCCCGGCCCTTGGGATCCATTTTTCAAAGTCCTCGAGAAGATCCGGGCGTGATATGGTTTTCAATTAGAGGAACCATGAACCAGATTATTAAGGTCACGGAAAGCCTGGAATAGTCACAGAAATGTTTACGTCATTCTTATATTCGTGTTCGCATCTGTGTGTGTGTATTTTTTTTTTCTTATGGTGCCAGAGATCGAATTTCTATTGTACGTTCTGAAAACATCACGGGGGAAATAATTGGGCGAACATTTAAGGTGTCCCGTTGCGCACCACACGCCGTTTAGGTTAGTTGACTCTCTTTCTCTCTCTCTCTCTCTCTCGGTCCGGAAATCTCGCGCTCGGGCGTTTTCTTCAGATTGGAAATAATATCCGTCATGTAGGCGAGGAGGGACGAGAACATTCGGCTATACGTAACCTAACCTGCCTGCACATCGTTGCAATCGTATCGAATGCTATCTCGTGTTATTAGTTAGCATATCGCGCTTTCATCCTCACTTCGTCCATGACGCGATGCTCTTTCGAGAAATCCGTTGCATATGACATGGATGTACGCAGCTCGACGACGAGATATCAAACAGCTCGGAGCCAGATCGGAGCGAATCGAATTATCTTCCCGGTATCTCCGATGTTTAATTTGCTTTTCTAATTCCGAGTTACGCACACGCACGCTCGCGCAGTGTCTCTTTATATTAAATATCTTTATATTAAACATGTCGATAATACTACTCTCGGCCGTTTTGATCGGCTGATACGCGCGACTATCGCAGACACGAAGATACAAAGCGCATGAGAAGAGCGGAGAAGTGATTTCCGCGAGCTCGCGTGTTTTTCTTAACTCGCCGCTAAATTTCGACGATAAAGAGAAATAACGTCGTTCTCTCTTTAAATGTTGCTTGAACGAGACATTCCCGAGCAGGAGGTTTACCACTGATCGCAACAGATGACGCGACTCTGTTGTAAATCTGCCGGAGGAGGCTCTCCTTCGGGTGTTTCCTCGTGGAGAAGAATGCGTGTGCTCGTTTTTAGCCAATGTTTATTTCATAAAATCCACCGGCATCCTGCGGCATTATATTCGCTCTCTTCGACGCGGAATCACGCCGACGACGTGACCATCGGGAAAGCTACGCGTCGCTTTTGAATTTCGACGACACAACCGAAGCGCTACGTTAAACACGTGGCGCTGCTGTCGCCAGTTCACGCCCATGATTGGTCGCGCTCACATTTGTCCAATTAGTCGCCCTTGGAGCGTGATTGGTTGGAGGAACGTGACGTCAGTTTCCATCTAGTTTAATAATGTATCGACAGAGGGCAGTTTGAGACTGCGGGCGGTCTCAGGAGTGCACCGGCAAAGCAGATTTTAATTGAGGAGCCATGATACGTCAGAGGCCTGACTTACACTCGGCTTATGACGAGGAGTCGCTTTATCGACTGATATTAACGCGTTGAGACGAGGGAACTTCCGCCCTCTGGAGGCCGAGAGGTATCGTCAATCACCCGCGACAAATCCCTCTTTGGTTCGGCCGCTTTGAAAGCCTTCGAGCCGGATCATCGGATGATACTCGCAGGATCGCCCGTCGGCCGGCCGGATTTCGAATTCCTCGTGCTCGAGGAAAGGAAGAGCCGTGTTCCCGCGGAATCGCCGCTGTAAGTCGCACTTACCTTTTACGACACTCTGCGGAGAGAAGCATATGAATGAATTGCGACACGTCGCGAGGAATGCGCGTGCAGGCGCGCAAGCATGACGCGGCCGAGCTCGTAAAGTCAATAAACACGTGAAGGAGGACCTTCGTGAGTGAGACGGCGTCGTCGTTGTCGTCTTTCGAGCAATAAACCGCCTTTGACGCTCCTAACTCTCGGAATTTATTCGCGCGCGCGCGCTCGTCCGCGCGAACCCGAGACGAGGTCGCTGTGTTCGTTGCTCCAATTACTACGCGCGTCTTCGTCGGGAATAAATGAAGACTGCGGCCGAAGGTCATCTTTGTGCGAGAGAGCGATGAACCTCCACGCGTTGTCCTCGCCAAAGCGACGGAAGGGGCCGCGCCAGGGGGTTGCCAGTTCGGAACCAGTTAAAGTCGCGCGGATCGTTTATCGCGAAATTCCAAAGTGCTTTCGCGCACGAGCCTGTAAAACGAGCCCCACGCGCGTTTCCTCGTCGATATGCTCGTCTGATTTTCCGTTTATGACACGCGATATCGTCACGCGCGTGTATAATCCGACGGTCAATTCGCCGCGTGTCTCGAAGTAACGCGCGATTTTCCACGGTACGTTGATTCTCCCGCTGATGGCAACGAATACTCGTCCGGAAAAGCATCAGGTCTGATAGCACGATTTTCCGCCTTGAGGACGCGCGCGAGCGTCTCGAATGTGAGAAACGGAGATATATCACCGGTTGGGTATCGATACGCGAATAATGCGAGGATATTTTGGCATAGACATACATCCACGCAGGCCTTGACCGAAATCGGTTCGGTTGCTAAAAAGCGGGCCTTTCGCAATTGTCCCCTCTCTTCGCTCCCTTTCCTTTCTCCCTGACGACCTGCCTTACTTGCTGGAAGAGCCACCGTCGCCTGAGAATCATCCTTGATGTTTCTCAGCGAAGCATGATCGCGATATTCATGATCCGATCTCGTATTTAGGATCGCTTCAAGTTTTTATCTTTAGACGCGCGCATACCTCCTTAACTGATCGCGCGTTTTCCCGCCGTAAATTTCGGCACAGGTCGCCTCGGTGAATTTCGGGCAAAGCGGGAGACGACTTTCCGCCGAGAGACACGTAGCGAAGAAGGACGCAAGGAACAAGGGCGCTCTCGCCCGCTCTCGCAGGCGAGTCCTCGCGATCCGCGCGGCGTTTACAATGTGCCTCGCGCTTAAACTCGTATATTCCGCCGTGCGGAGCGCCACTCCCTCGCCAGCTGGCCAAGCTTCTTTGTTCGCGTTTGTTGAGCAAGACCCGAAGAAGCGGGTCGCTCGTCGGGCATCGGGCACGAATATACGCGTTCGCATGCCCCGTCAATGCCATCAGGTTGACAGCGCGCGAGCGCGCGCCAGGAAAAGGTGAGACGCAGGTAAGGCGATCGCTCGTTCGCTCGCTCGCTCGCTCGCTCGCTCGCTCGCTCCTCCACGCGGCTGGTGCGTAACCGGGTGACTTAACACAGCCGTCCCGGTATTAGCCGCCGACCCAAAGAGCCGAAAGAAAGGGAAAGTCCGTCGGAGACCGGCCGCGAACTTTAGCGCTGTCAGTCCACGGAAAGCGAGTGCGCGCCTGCTCGCGTCGCGAACCCGCTCGTGGCGGCGAACAGCAGCGAACTGCAAGTGCTGCTGGCGCAGCAACAGCAGCGAGGAGCAACAATTGGAGCAACGATAACGTGTGTCGGCGAGCCTTGGCGGTGAAACGCGGAGTTTTTTACGTGCGTACTTGGGTGTTGCTGCTTGTTCGCTCGCCCGCTCGCTCGCTCGCTCGCTTGCGTACGCATGCGTGCGTGCGTGCGTGCGTGCGTGCGTGCATATGCCGATCAGCCGGGATTATTATCGCGCGCTTCTTCTTCACGACGCTCGCGACACCCAGCGCGTCGACGCGAGGATGCCTCGCGGTGCGCGCACCGCGACAGGATAAGGGCTCGCTGGGAATCCTGGTGCGCGCACGCAGCACACCGCTCCGCGACGTGGAACGCTTGGAAACTGTCGAGATAGCAGATGGTAGGTAATCAAGGTCCCAGCACGATTGGCACGTGTCTTTGAGCTGCTTGCACCGTGACCGATCGCCACTGACTCTGCTTCTTCTTCTTCTTCTTCTTCTTCTTTGTGTTCTTCTTCTTCTTTCGCTTCTTCTTCTCCGTCTTCTTTTCCGTCTTCTTCTCCGTCTTCTTCTTCTTCTTCTTCTTCTTCTTCTTCTTCTTCTTCTTCTTCTTCTTCTTTCTCTTATTCTTGCTCTCCTTCTTCTCAGGCTCCTTCTACTCTCGTGTTATCTTTTTACGTTAATGAATATCTGTCTGGCGTTGAGACATAGTACCGCTCTTTATATCCTCAGCCTGATTACTCGCACTTCTTTTCCCGCCCGATATCTTGACGATACGAGCGTGATGATGCGCTTGTAAGAAGGATTTCGTTCGATCGAGTCGAGCTGGTCAGAGCTATCCAGAGCGGACTGCATACCTGCGTACTGGTTTTTGGTCTTTGGTAACTTGTCTCGCAGAAATGTGGCTCGTGTCGCTATGACAAACACGTTTTTCCAGTGCGAACGTGGGGATTATTTTTCAATATTTCCAACATGGACTCGTCGTAGTCTTACGACGAGTCCGGGTCGTTTTCAACGTTTCAGTGCACCTCTCAGCTCTCGGTGGACTAGACGATGGACTAGATAGACGACGTAAAAGGCGATTTGAGATGTTGTAAGTGTCTAATAGCCCGACAGTGGGAGTATCGCTTCGTATCTGATGAAACTGTCAACATTCATAAGCGCGATACTTTGCCGGCAGAAATTTACGGCCGTCATTATTTCTCGATATCCTTGCTACGCCTTAGTGCGTATGGTGACAATTACATTTTTCAACGTAGCAACGGACAATGCGGCGCAGCAATAACAAAGATGATTTGTAGATACAGTCGTAACCCTTCTCTTTCGCGTCCGGTTGCTCACTCTGCCCCTCTCTCCTCCACCGCCTCTCTTTATCCCGGAGTGAAAAGCCTCGAAACAGATATATTATGTCCGAACCTACAGAACTCGTTTAAGTCCGCGCTTAAACACCGAGCGATCCAGTTTGTCCTGATTTAGCGTGTTTACGCAATTCGCGACTGAGCCAACTGCGTAAAACGCAGCTGCTTATCTCGTTACGCTTGATCATTGACATTACGTTGCGCATTAGATTGCGCTGTATGATGACGCCGTTATTTGCACCGCGCGCTAGTAGAACGCTGGTATTATGCTCGGCCTTACGCAATCGTGAAAATTTCACTTTTCTCGATGCAATACTGCGAGGCGCACGCGAGCGAGCGAGCATCCTCCTCGTAATGTTGCATGCACGTCGTGCCGGTATTGGAATAATTTTTCGCATCGGGAGTTATTCGCTACTCGCTGTTTTTTTCTTCCTCTCTCTCTCTCTCTCTCTCTCCCTCCCGCTCTCTCCTTACCGCTCTTCCCATTTCTCCTCCGGCGTTGTTTTTACCGTCTTCGATTTCGCATCGCTGCGCTGCGCAAGCTTGTCCGACAGGTCCGCCGCGAAATAAATCTACTCTCTTTGATACAAGGACAATGATGTAACTTCGATAGGATGTGGGAAAGAGAGAGAGAGAGAGAGAGAGAGAGGGAGAGAAAGATTGCAAAAGTTAGAGAAACACGTAGATTCTTCTCTCCTGAATTCACGTTCCATTAAATTTATCGCCACTTCGTTTAAATAATGCGAAGGCGTTCCCGAGGGCGTCATTTACGCTAACCGTCTGTTACCAACCGACTTATCCATTCTCATTTTATTTCATCAACATTTTTTTATCGACGGGAGATGACGAGTGAGAAGGCAGGGAGGTGCCATTGAAATGGCGTCTCACTTTTAAAATATGAATGAACGAAGGCGAGATGATTTCGCCGTATTTTAACTTTAGCGCACAACGCGTCTGCGTTATGCAAGCATTACGTTCGAAGTATGTGCAAGTTTGTTGCATAATTAGCGACCGATAAGTGACTCGAATTAACGTAATCAATAACTGGCACATCATTTTTTTACGTTTAGCCGGTTAGATAGTAGCACCGATTCGTGCGAGCCTCTGCGAGTCTTGTAAAATTTACGAGCGCAAGCGCGAGTGTATATTAATGTGTGAATTAGTCGCTGATTTAATAGCTGGGAAAATCTACTCGAGTGTCAGAGGGTAACATCGCAAAGAGTAATTATTAGCTTACGATTTCTTGGTGGTTTAATCTTAATACGTGGGATGCATCAAGCGATATCAAGACGAAGAGAAGAAGGATCGGTTGTGAATGAAATTCACAATGGCGCGGCAATGGACGAATGGAACGCGTTCTGCTCGAAGCAAACAGAATCCTTTGCTCCTCAGAATCGAATTAGGCTAACGAGAAGCAGAAATCTCGAGCAAAACGTGTCTGCCTCATTCATGGTCGCGTCAGATCGACTGACCTTTTCTCTTCGCGAAAGTAACGGCGCAAGTCGTAATCGAATTATGAATTTCTCACAGCGCGTAAGATAATGGCTGGACACGTTCCAGTATCCAGCCACTTTGAAAAAAATATTTACTATTTTTATTTTAACGATAATAAGTGAAAGTAATAATTATTGTAAAAAAAAGTCCAATATTTGACGATCAGTTGGAAAAGAAATATATATATATATATATCCAATTTGATACTTTTGTGTTAAGATAAAAATTAATTAAATAAGTATGCGCCTATGGTTTGGCAAAATAATGGTCAATCGTTAATTAAGAAACTCATCAAGAGATAGCATCCATATTTATATTATTTCCCGTTAACACATAATAATTTACTAATTTTCTAATTGCGCTCAGACACTGGAATAAACATATCCGAACATTGGGCTATAATCTATTTCAACTGCCCGGTCACTGGCACATTAATGCGCTTCATTACTTTTGTAAATATTCCATTAATAATAGATATACACATTATATTATTATTATTACAATATAATAATTATATTATTATCATAATATTATAATATAATAATTATATTATTATCATTATATTATAATATTATAATATCATAATCATACTTAATATTATATATTGTATTTCTTGTGACGACTTAGGCTAAAACGTCCGGTTACTGGGATATTTACCTTGTCACGACTGAGAGCGACAATTGAGAAGTTCCCCTTTGTTTCCAGCGCATCGGCACGCTAACGCATCGGACGATGAAAGATCGACCATGATCGGCGAGCGCTTCACCTCCTTAAAACCGGATAGCTCGGAACATTCGCGCGAGTGTCTCGCGCCGACTCCGCGTTCTCATGCTCGTGTGCTCGACCTCTTGACCGGCGGAGGATCATAATGCTAGAGCCGGTTCTGGGAACGTCGCCGATCTGGTGGCTGGTGATGTACGCCAACATCCTTCTGCTGCTGTCGCCCTTGGTGCTGCTGATGGTCGTCTTCCTGCCGAATTTCCCGCTCTTGCTGCTGCGTAGAATATGCTACATACCGATCGAGTCGATCTGACGATCGATCGACGTCCGACCGGGCGGTCGTGGATCTATATCAGACATTCTATCGGACATCGTGCACCCGGCTCGATACCGAGGTATCGCGAAGCGCCTAGGGATTGCCTTTGCAACCGGGAATAATCGAAATGTGAGTGCCGAAGGAGCCCGAGCGACCTCGAGAGCTCGGGTGACTCCACCTGAAAGACTCGAGTCGCTCGACTGAATTTTGAGCAGACCGCGCGTGCTCCGATTGTTCTGCGGCATCTCATCACGACGACACTGATCGCGCGCGATCGCCGATGATACGGATCACCTGTCGAGCTACAGTTAGGGTCTACAGTTAGATGTAAATGTATACCTAGGCGGCCGAGTGTGCGGTCGCGCCTTCGCGCGTCGGGCCGCAGCGAACGGCGCGCAGCGTCGCCGTGGTGCGCGACCTCGCGTTGTCTCCACGTTGTATGTACGCTGAAACGTTGAAATGCATTGACTTACCAAGCTACACACGATCTCGCTGAATTCCAACGAAACGATCATTTCGTCCTGCATGCCTACCTGCCTGCTTACCTGCTCGATCCGATCGTGCGCGCACTCGGATGGAATTCTGAATGTTATTACGCGGCTCGCGACGCGCGGGATCCTTTCGGCAATCACCGGCGTTTTGTCGTTCTCCTTCGACGCGCGCATGTTTGTCGCATGTTGACGAGAAAAAGGTCACCGCGAAGGATTCGAATTTTTCCCTGCTCGCCGACACTCGCTCGAAGGTGTCGATGAAATATTTCTGTCGCGAAGGCTCGCGAACGACGTCGCGCGAGTGATTATTCTGACGAGCGAGCTCGGGAGCTGCGATAAGTTGATGCGAAGGACTCGTCTATTAGAGGAGGAAGGACATTTCTATTAAAGTTCTCGTAGAGGAAGTTCAGTATTCAGGAAATTAGATCTAGTCTAGAAAACAAGCACTTTGTTCGTCTCACTCGTGGAAATTGTTAGTCCCCCGAGATTCGACGATTTTCCTCTTTACTTGATTGAACAGATACTTTTGCATCGATCTGATAGACAATGAAGTGGGATAGACATAACGACGCTCGCGACTTCAAATCGCGCTGACGTCGCGAAGCTGATACTTTACACGTTTTTTTCCTTCGCCCGCTCACTTCTGCGTACGCAATGATAAGTTGCAAGTTACGTGTTCAAGGCAAATGCACGCAATAACATCCGCGATTAGAACGGAAATTAAGAAATAATATTTTGCTCAAGGAGAACCGCTCTGTACGTGCGTGCGTGCGTGCGCTTAGAATCGACAGAAAGTTGCATTTGCGGATTATTTATGAACTGAACTAACGGTGCGAACGCGCGGCTGGAAAGATCGGCGATTAGTACGTGTCAACCGATCGAATGTCCGGACGAAAGAAACAACGGCTTACATCGACGTGTCAATAGGGATGCAACGATTTCTCGAAATATCGATAACGATAATAACGATAATTTTGAAAAATATCGATATTTATATAAAAAAATGTATACATATAAGGTTATGCACGAAAAATTTGAAAAGATCTTTTAAAAATTTTTATCTTCATATAATTTATTGTCGTATTCTTATTAGAAAATATATAGTGAACCGCAGTCGTTTGCTGGGGATCACCACATACATGGAGCGGGAGATCTATGACGGTTCAACGATTGAGATGGAAATGATAAAAGTGAGCGAATTTACTAGACATCGAGCAATTACATACGTAATATATATTCTAGTGAATTCACTCAAACTTTTGTAATTTTCATCTCGATCGTAGAACCGTAGGTCCCCCAGAGCTGAAAAATACGAAAATCAGTAAAATTCACATCGATTTTATCGGAGACAAAAAATATCTATTCGATAAATATTCGATGTTTGTCTCTCGATATATCGATATTTCGATATCATCGACTTATCGTTGCATCCTTACGCGTCAGAAGCGGCTGACAGGGCCTGCATCCCGTACCTGCATATCGACAGTTGTCGGTGTCGTTAGCGGCACTGCGCAGGTTTTTCATATAACAAAAAAGATGCGCAGTACTGCCCAATTACGCGAGTACGGAATACAGCCCCAGTGGTGCGATTCTTTAACTCGTTATTGGAGTTAACGACAGTTTCATTATCGTTACGTAGCTTTTCTACAGTATACAAAAGCTGCGTAACGATAACGAAAGTGTCGTTAACTCCAATAACGAGTTAAAGAATCGCGCCGCTGAGCTCTCTGAAATATCAGGACTCTCATTTTTCGCTCTTTCTTTCATTTGCTCGATCTCTCGCTCGCATTTCGCGTTGCGCATCCCGCACCGCGGATGATCGATCATACCCGATCGAAGAGAACGATAGCGCTATTCGCATGACAGCGACGTTTACGAGACTCCGAATTGAGAGTACGCGTTGGATCTGGATCAGGTGGGCGATCTTGAATCCCTTCCTCCCTAATGTGAATTTGCGAAGATTAGGCATTTCCAAATGCGTTCAAGGTAGAAACCTTGCGCTTTCCACGAGTTCACGCTAGACGACAAGATTCATCGTCGAGACCCCCGCCGAGAGAGAGAGAGAGAGAGAGAGAGAGAGAGAGAGAGGGGAGAGAGAGAGAGAGAGAGAGAGAGAGAGAGAGAGAGTCGAGATAACGAATCCTCTTTTCCAGCGTGAGCTCGTGAAAAGTGGCCTTTTTCCCCAAGCCCTCGCTCTTCGAGGAGATCGGCCCTTAGACTCGTATCTGGATCGGGAAAACGCGAGTCTCTCGCAGTCACACCGCAGGACGAGCGCGCATATTCGCGAGCCGTTGCGTAAGCGACGATTACACAAGAACAGCGCTCGAAAGCGTCCCCCGTGGGGACGAGCCTCGCGGCTAACGTCCCGCACGATCTCAACGGCGACACCCGCGATTTTTCCGGGTCCGCATGGTCGTCATCCTCCATCTCCTCCCTCGGCACTCCTCGCTCCTCGTCGCGCGTTCGTCGCGATGCACCGCGCACGAAGGAGGCGTACCGCAATCGGCTGTCCTTCTACAGTTCTACCGGTGATATAGGCTGGTCCGAAGTTGAACATTATAGAGTACCGATCGGAGAGTACTTTCGCCGAGAGTCGCCCGTAGTGGGGGAGGTGGGACTTGAACCCTGGAACCCCCCATGGGCCATATATACTACGGGCCCATGCAGCGCTCTTGCTACTTGGTGTCAGCTTCTCGGAGATATCCCCCCCGGCTTCACGTCGAGGAAACGCGCAGGAGAGAAGCAGCAGCGACGAGGAAGAAGCAGGATTAAAGAAGGAGCTGATAACACAGCGAACGGTGAGTAAGAGTAACTCTGCGAGACGAAGAGCCGCTCTCGGATGAGAGACGTCGAGCTCCTCGACGAGGAGGAGCGTGGAACTTGGATAGAGCCGAGGGGCGCCGCTCGCCGACAGGGTGAAGAACGTGATTGTGGGAGCAGCTGGCCGGGGAGGTAGGAAGTGATACGTGCGAAAGGAGCGAAAGCCTCCGGCGAAGTCGCGAATGCTGATGAGGTGATTCACCGCGGTGCAACGCCACGCGTCCTCGCGCGCCCATTCGACCTCGTTCAGCGCCTCCTCCAGCCCTTTGCCCGTTTCGTGACGAAACGATCGGGATCCTCTGTTGGTGCAGCGAGCACGTCGATGCAGTCGACGAGTCGCGACCGACGATAGGAAGAATGCAGCCGCGCGTACCGTCTCGCGTGTCTCGCGACGGAAGGGATCACGAGCGCGCGCTCGTACTTGAAGTTCGCCCGCGACTCCAGCCAACTTCCCACGCGATCCCAACTCCAGCGCTCCTGCGGTGATCCTCTCGCGCGCACGAGAGCCGACGAGGCACGAGCACGATGCATCGTTGAGATCGAACGCTCGCCGCGATACGGCACTTGGCGGCCTTGCAACGCCTCCGTGAACGACTGTTACCCTGGGAGCTTGAACTTCAAACACGATCGGAATCCGCGCTAGGCGCGATAACTCGCGATCTCTCGAGCTCAGTTACACGCCTATGAGCGGGCTAACATTCTGTGCACGCGTGTTTCGGCTCGTTCGTATGCGCTCTCTCACACACACACGCGCGACCGGTACTTGCGCCACACCGGCGCGGCGCAACGGCTCCGCTACCTTTCCAGAAACAATAATGGTGTCGGTCGCTTCCACACGCACACACATACACACATACACATGTATATCTGTGCGTGCACGTGGCGGAACACGCCCGTCTTCTCACTCGCCTCTGTAATCCCCTGCAATACACACACACACACACGTGTCATTCGCGCATGTACGATTGGTTTGATCAAAAAGTAAGGAGAATTTTTGATTTTCTCGGAAGGTATTTATTTTTAATCCCATCTCCTTCAAAGTGGTCACCCCGTGATATTATACACTTATGCCAACGTAGCTTCCAGCTTGAGAAACACTGGTGGAACGCCTCTCTTAGGTATCGTCTTGAGCTGGATCTGCGATTTCGCATCTTTTGTCTCATCTCTCTGTTGAGAAACGTTTCGAGTCCTTTTCGAGTGTCCTTTTGAGTTTGGGAAATAGGAAGAAGTCACAGGGGGTCATGTCTGAAGAATAAGGTGGTTTTGCGACGCTGTTTCTATTGCGAAATTCAGCAGTTTCGGAACAAATTTTGCCGCCACTCATGTTTCATGTTCAAAACATTAGTAAAAATCGCTTCGCATGAGGCGTATGAAATTTCTATTTCTTCAGCAACCTCTCTAATGGTGATTCTTCTATTAGCAAGCACAACCTCTTCAACTTTTTCCACTGGTTTTCATCACTGGTGGATGTGTTAGGACGCGCCCCAGACCTCGCGTCATCTCCGATGTCTTCTCGGCCTTCCTGAAAGCGTTTGTACCATTCATAAGCATCGTGGTTGCGACATAGTAGTTGGCGTCGCCAAAGGTCTTCTTGAACATTTTGAACGCTTCGCTGCACTTAATTCCGTTTTTAACACAAAACTTCAGACAAACTCTCTGATCCGACTCCGATTTCGCCACACGAAAAGTCGCCGAAAAACACACCGAGGTACGAGGTCTTGCTCATTCACTCGCCAAATACAAACTGAGCGTCGCAGCTGCCTGAAAATTGACACGTACGTCACCGGTAGTGCTACCAATAACCACCAAGAAAGAATCAATTGAATAGACAAGATACAGCGCGCGCAATTTCAAAATTCTCCTTACCTTTGGATCAAACCTCGTACGTGCAATCGGACGCTCGATTGTTCAGCTGCATTTCAGCTACAGCGGTTCAACTTCGCAGCAACTCTCGCACGTGTCGGGATTTTTGGCTTACACCAATGGTCGTTACCTGAGATTTGTCTCATTTAAAATGCTCGAGTGGGAATTTGAATTTAGATCAGAGTTGTTTACTTGAATCCTACTATACGCGCCAGATATTTCGACAATCGTGACACTCGGACTGATGATAACACTTCATCTCACTCGAGACGAGCCTCTCAAGTGACGCCTGCTAATTAATACGAATCCTTATTGTTCGCTATGACTCGGCATATCTCGCTGGATGACGAAGAAGCGAACTTACTAATGAGAGAACGCGCTCCTTCCAGATGAAGCTGCCGATCATCTGCGCGCTGATCACCGTCGCGGCGGCCGCGCCAGGTCTCCTGAGGGTGCCGAAGGTGTACAACGCCGTGATCACGAGCAATCAGAACCTGTCGCCGTCGCGGGCGTTCCCGGTGATACAGCCGGTAATTCATCGCACGGCGGTCGGTTACGTGCCGCCGTTTTATTACACGCAGATAGCGCCTCACTTCGCCGGACCGGAAGTGGTGCATTATCCGCCGCTGAGCGGCGGGAGACCCGGCGGAAACGATCAGACGCAGGCCAGCTCGAGCTCGCGTCTTGTGGAGTCGACGAGTTTCGGCACCGCGAAGGAGCGAGGTGACGCCGAGCGCGCCAAGGAGAACCCGAAGACCGACGAGCCGAAGGCACCCGGTAACCCGGACGAGAGCCCGAAGGAGAAGGTCGACGCGAAGGACTCGCCGAAGAAGAACCAGCAGGTGCCGTTGAGCTTCTACCCGAACTACCAGTCCCTCTACTACGAACCGTACATCTACACGTACAACAGCTTCAACCCGCACCTAGTACCCGGCACCTACTACGTGGATTACCAGCCGTACGGCTCTCTGGAGCCGATCCCGCCGGACACGCCGAAGAACGCCGAGTCCGGCTTGTTACCGGGCTTCCACGAGGAGAAGGCGAGGATTCCGCCGCCGGGGAACAACGACAAAGAAAAGATACCGGACGTGCCGCCGCCGCCGCCGCCGTCGTCGACTTCCTCCGCGCCGAGGAAGTCCTGAGAGCCGAAGGGGCCACCCTGGGAATCGAATCGCGATGAATGAGCGAACGAGAAGAGGCATGACGTCGGTTGACGTCGTGGACGACTCGCGGTTCGATACGCGCTTCGAAGCGAGAAGATTCTTCCCTTATTTTCCGCTTATCTTTCCTTTCCTCTGGGAGATGTTGTTCTCTTCTTCGCCTTCTGAGAGATACGGATCTGCGCTGTTACGTGCTGACGGGCAATCGGTTCACCCGTGCCGGCGCGGCGCCGCGGCGCGGTGGCATGTCAGCGCGGTCAATCGGTTGGCATTTAGCACACTGGTCACGCCATTATATCGATGAACTTTGGCCGCAAGTTGCTCGAAATAATCTCCAATCTGCGCAGCGATGCTCGATAAAGTTCGAGGGGTTTCGTTGGCGCGTGTTGCGCTCGCGCGCCGGCTACTGTTATTATTGGCGCGGAATCGACGCGGAGGGCGGCTCGAATCAGTTTTGCAGGTCGCGCGTTTGTAAACTTTCTGCCACGAAATCCCGGGCTTCCTCTAATACGCGATACGCGTTTCACGTCACGCGCGTATCGTTGGCGCGTTTTTAAGCTTGCGCCACGAGCTTGCACTCGTTCGCGATTATTAGCGTGCGCTCGACAGCGGACCGAGCGAATTTTTATCTTCGAGTTGTATTCAAGTTACATGACATGTCGATATATTTATGAGATATATAGATATACTTAGTGTTTTTATATATATTAAAGGTTTTTCCACACATACAGAGCGTTGCTTCAAGATTTTTCTATTCATACAGGGTATTGGTAACGCCGTCGGATCCCGCTGCCGCCTCTCTCCCCTCCCCCCCCACCGCTCTCTCTCCTCTCTCTCTCTCTCTCTCTCTCTCTCTCTTTCTCTATAGGAAACAACCTACTCACTAATCTATGCCACGACAATCCGGAGCGAACCTCTTGATTCCCCAGACCTTAATTATGTAAGAGAACCCCTCATTCTCGAAGCCTTGCAGCTTGAGTTTCACGTATTCGTGGCCTCTTCCGCCAGATACGAACGTGACCTTTGCCTTGGTCTCGTTATATCGCAGGGCCTCCACGCAGGTGATGCAAACGGGACCTTGAATGATTACTTCGAACACCGTGTCGAGAGTAGAAGGACCCTTTAGTCCTAGGAGCAAGTTGTGCTGATACACCACCTTCCCCTTGCACCTTCCCCAAATTCGATGGACGGTCCCGTTGTCCTGCTGACAAACCGATCGCGTATGACTCATGACAGGAAATTTACGAGGTGATAAAATAACAAATACTGTATAAATTATCAGGGCTCTCAAATGTACAATTAACATAGCATTAACCCTTTAACGCCTACTGGTAACTATAGTTACCAGAAACGCATTTAAGAATCCATAACTTGGTCGACCAAGAAAGGAGATATTTTCGTTTTCTTTGCATCACTGCAAAGGTGAATTCTTCCTCTAAAAAATGCTATATAGATTGCATGTAGATTCGGTTTAGTTTGTTTTTAGCTCAGTTTTAACGATAACATGTTTTGTCAAATTCCAAGTAGGCGTAATTAGCATTGTTGCTGGCATCTAGAAGTGCGCTATGAATGAATAGATTGGTATCTGTTATAATTTTATACATTTGGAAGCTTTCTCAGATGCAAAACGTGAAATTAAAGGAATACAGAAATTCAAAATGGCGAATCCAATATAGCGGACACGAGGATCAAGAAATCAAGCTATTTTCGTGAAACCTATAGTGCTTTTTATGCGGCGAAAAATGAAGGGACGATTGACCATCTAAATGGTGATCTATGAGATATTCTTCTGAAATAGTAAGCTCAGTCGCTCTGAATGATAAACTTCACTCACATATAGCAAATATAGCAAAGTTTCAGCTGAAAAATGTCGAGCTGACTGCCAGAATTATGTCATATGTATAGATTACCCTTCATTTTTCTCCGTATAGGTTGCTCATTTCGTACAAGCTTTTAGGTTCCAAGTCATATTTAACGATAAACAAAAAAAGGAACGATAAGAAAAACCAATATAAAATTCTGATATTTTTTTTCCTTATCGCTACTTATAGTCTCAGTTAAAAAAAAAAACTCAAATTTAATTCTCAAAACACTTATAAAAAAGTCGGGGGTTAAAGGGTTAGAAAGCCGGTGAAAATCTATGCAATATATCGATGGTAAAACTCATCAAATCTACAAACGAGACGAACCATGATGAGACCATCCAACGGGACGAAAAATCGCAAAGCGAACGTTCTATTTTCCAGCGTGAAAAATCGCCCCGAGCGACGGCCGGAACGTTTCTTTCATCTTTCGATTCGTTCGATACATCTTACTTCGTATTTCATTCGCAGGAGAATCGACATCTCGCACAGACTCTTCTATCTAGAGTCGCGCAAATAAAAGCGTCGAGATGTCGGAGCTCGCGATAACGCGAGACGCTCTCCTCTCTCTCGAGCAGCATGTGTCTTTCTTTCTGCTTATCGGCGTCGAAGTGATCTTTTCCATGAACTTACGTTATCCGGCCGACCGACGACCATCGTCCGATCGTCATCGACTTCTTCCTCGCTGTCCGCTGAGTCAGTGCAGTTGTCCGCGATCTTGGACCGCTTCTTCGGCGCGAAAGTCCCGGACAACGATGCGTTCGCGCAGGGCACGGGTGTGGTGTAATAATACCGCACAGCCTGCCTGTCGACGTTGCTGTTGTTCCACGTGCGGGAGCCGAATACCGGTCGGCCGTCAGGCCGTTTGACCGGTAGATTGCTGTACATCGGGTCGATCGTTATGGACGGTTGTCGGAAAGTCGCTCTGTTGATCGACGCGCTGGAGTTCTTGCTGGGATAAAGCCGAAACAAGGTGACGTTGCTCGCCAGCGGGTACTCTCGCGACGTGCCATTGTCCGAGCTGGGTGGTGAGCTCGTGAGGTTGCCGTAGCGCGCTTCTATCGCGCGCTGACGAGCGTAGAACCTCGCCATTACGGCTCTCCGCTCCGCGTAGTAATCGCTCGCGTTCCTCCGCGCAGGGTAACTGTCACCAGCTGCGAGGCTCCTTCGCGTCCGGAGGTGTGCATGTCCCGTCCTGTACAACGGCACCCTCGTGAGCGTCACCCGGTCCTTCGGCGACGTCTCGCTCGCGTTCCTCTGCGCAGGGTGATTGTCACCAGCTGCGAGGCTCCTCCGTGTCCGGACCTGTGCATATCCCGTACTGTACAACGGCACCCTCGTGAGCGTCACCCTGTCGTTCGGCGATGTCTCGCTGGTGTTGGCCGGTCGAGCGATGCTCGCGATGTCGCTCGCATTCGGCGAAGGTATGTCCGAGAACACGACGTACCTCTTGTACCTGCTCGCATGGTGCCCGCCCGGGCTCTTCCTCGAGACGAAGCGCTCGTACTGCTTCGGGTACACGATGTAACGCTCGTTCGGCACGAGGTCGTTCCGGCTGGAGCGCGCTTCGCCGAAGTCGAAGGCCGCAGCGGCGTTCCTGCAGGAGTCTCCGGCGCAATCGGGAATTCCCTTTGCAGAGTGCAGAGTGAGCTCGTCGTCGGGTAGTTGGTCCGTCACCCGCACGATCATCGGTCTAGAGTGGCTGTGTGGGCTCTTGGTGGTGAGCCATTTTCGCGGTTTGCGGAATTTCGCGGATCCCGAGGCCGACGAGGCGCTCGCGACGAGGACGAGCACGGCGATCGCGATGATCGGCCATGATGATCTGCCACGGCGGACAGTCATGCTCGCGAGATCATCGGTGTCTGCGTGTGCGCGTCCGAGAGGAAATCGCGACGCACTGCTGCGCGCCGAGGAACGCCCGGTCATCTTTCTGACCTGAGCTTTATCTCGCGCTCCCCCCAGGGTGAGGGACCTCGGTTAAGTTTCTTTGCAACAATGACGGATTCATCGGAGGCGAGAGCAGCTAAGCCTGTCGAGATGATATCGAATATCTGCCAGAGTCTGACGACTCTATAAATAGGTGTGCGCGGCGTAACGCGTAACGCGTAACGGAAAAATTCGACTCGGAGTCGTGCTCGATGAATTCATCTCGGAGGAAGCTTTCATCATATTGTAGATTCCGAGGCAAGTCCAAGCCGAGCAACGAAATTAACGAGGATTAAGGGGAAGGGGTCTCTACCGATAACAGATGAAACGAGAACACAAAGGGTCTTTAAGAGCCCGAAGACAGGCTGTCCTGAAGGTCCTTTACGTTCTCTGGCTTGGTTTCTCGATCGATCAAGCTTGCAAGGCGCTCATTGAAGCATACATTTATTGTACAGACAATACATCCTGCTTGTTTCGCGTACACGTGGGATTTCCAAGCGCGCAGCTCTCAATTGGGATAAAGAGAGCTGGTCTAGAAATCGCTCACGTCTCTCTCGGAGTAAGTCGTACAGCGTAGCGTAGCGTGAATATCAAAATATAACGAGGTATGAGGAAACAAACGCATCAGGCGTGCGTCACTCCGCAATTAAGTTTCTATTCCTTGGACGTACATATTCATTAGCGCGCGTGATGAGGAAAATGATCTCATATCGCTTCCACAGTTATAGAATCTCCGTCCTGCTCGCTGCTAGTTGGCATTGTCGTGCCAGGCTCGACTTTCGAGTCCAACTTTTCGATATTGCTGTCGTCGATGTCTACGTCGACTGGCTCCTGCGTTGACGTCGGCGGAAGTATCGGTCTGGGGGGAAGCCCCGGGTGCGATGGTGTCAACACGGGGTAAATCTGAAGAAACACCGGCTCATAAGATCCTGTCTTGCAATTTGCTATATTCAAAGCTCCAAAGCTTCGGTGTAATTCCTCTTGAGCTTCAAACTCTATTCGAGATAAAAAATGCAAGTTCAAGATCCAAAGTACGATGAGATAAGAAGTGCAAGTTGAAGACTCTATTCCTGCTTTCTCTCAATCGAAGACATTCAGACGCTCGAATATTCACGCTTGGAAATTCCGTCAAATATATCGCTCACTCGAAGCTTCCGAAAATTCCGAAGCTTCGAATAGAGGAAGCTCCAGCTCTGTCCGTTTCCTTTCATCGGAAATCAGAATTACGCAATTCCAAGTTCCCTGGCCAAGTGCTCACGGAGTGATAATTTACCGGGCTCAACGGGATCCGAATGTCGTAGATCGGCATTCCGTAGTAGAAGTTGTACGCGGGGATGTGCGAGACTTCCGGCTTGCCGGCGGCGAAGACGGTGGTCGGTATACCTCCTACGTCTGCAGCGTGCACCTGAAAAACACGCGAAACACACAGGTTGCAGGTATGCGGGCATACGTGAGCATCGAACTACGAGCATTCTACGATATCTGCGATACATTATAAACGTAATACGGAGAGTGCGCGCCTTGATAGGCGGCCAGGTATTGCGGTTGTGCGTCGAGCTCGAGCGTCGTCGGATACAAGTAATTATCGGCAGTTAAAGTCGTCCATAACGGTTTCGACACGGCTGTGCCGAGTATCGCCGTGAGCGCAGCTAACAGCACGATGAGCCGCGTCTGATCCTGGAAAGAAACGTGACATTGAGTAACCGGTGACTTGCACAAAGCCCGAGCAGCCGCGGAGTGGCAAATCGAATGTTGCATCTCTCAATGCGGTGCGCGTTTGTGTTTCTCGTCTCGTCGACAGCCACATAATATTAGCGTCGGGGGGAGCGGGGGTGGGGTGGGGGGGGGAGGGGAGGGGCCGCTTACTCGCTATTTTCTCAAAAACGCAGAAGGAGAAATGCGCGTTGCGCGGCGCAACGATCGCCTCGGAACGATGTTGTTTGCTTCGTCGATGCCTGCGGATGGACGCGTCGCATGCGAATGATCGGCGAGTTGCAGGCAGGACGAGCGAAATTGCCTTCCGCGAAAACAGACTTCCACGTCAACGACGTATAGAACAGCGACGTTCTATTAATACACAGCGACTTGCCGCGAAACGAGAAACAGCTGCGATACATCCAAGGATTCGCCTATTTCCACCTGCTCGCTCGCATTATCCGTGCGCGCGAGGCGAACCGAGGCAGGTGTCGAGGCTCTCGTCAACTCGATGTAATGACGGAACGATGGAAAACCGAGCGATATATTTTTCAAGTCCCAATCTCAGGAAAACATCGCAAGAAGCAAGAAGCGCGGCGGATCGATCGCTGTCAAGTCGAGCTGAAGAGCCCGAAGGACGGCTCGGCGCGGGGCGGTCTACTCGTGTTCGTCTGGATGTGTGAAACCATGACAGCGTCACGTCAGCCACGCAGACGGAGCGACATGTGAATGTCGACACAATGAACGGCGAAACAATGAGAGGAGGCCTCGCGCGTAGCGAGCCACCGGCGATCACAGACTCACCCGCATCGCTAAGTTGTCCACGTGCGCTGCCGATAGTCTCAGATCGTATCCGCGACAACCTGAATTTCAGCCCTACCTGTGCGCAATTTATATATTCCTGTCCGCGGAGAGCAGAGTCCCCACCCTCGACACGAACATCATCCGCGGCCTTTTTTTGCTCCTGCGAGCAACGTTTGCTCCTTGTGTCTCCACTCCTCTCCTCTCCTCTCCTCTCCTCTCCTCTCCTCTGCCCGCTCGTCTCTTCTCCTCTCCTCTCCTCTCCACGGCCGTCCCGAGCCTGCGGATAAGATACGACGCACTACTATTCTTTTTTAACGCGCAACTCGCAGCGCGATTCGCGAAACGAGAGAAGCGCTCGCGGGAGAAGCCGCGGCGGCCGAGGACTACCAGTGCCGGCTTCAGGGTTGATCGGCACCATCACCCTCTCTCTCGACACCTCAGCCGCGCCATGCCGCGCCGGCGATTGCGATCGGCGTCTTTGATCGCTCACGATAATTACGCAGCGCCGCAGCGCAAATCTCTGAGAAACATCGGAAAAAGGCAAGAAACGTTGTCGGAAGAGTCTTTCGGACTCGTCCCTGCTGTCCGGATGACGACAGGACAGCTCGACTACGTGACTCGCGTCTCTCAGAGGAGACGATGTTCCTCGGAAATTTAGAGGAAGCTTGGAATTCAATCTGGAGATTTCCCGCTCGGAGAGACCGCGACAAGTTCGCGCAAAGGACCGTCTTTCGCACGACCTGCCTTCCGGCGCGGCTTGCTCCGCGAGAACCCGTTCAGGTTCGCTTTCTTTCTTCTTCCGTTCTCCTCGTCCGATCGCAGGAAGCGAAGCCTGCGATCGCCGATCGTCTCGCTGAAACACTCGTAAACGTAAAATTCTGCGAGAGGAAAGAAGAGACATGGAGAGAGCAACTCGCGAGATTGCAGCGGCCGACAACCGGTCGCATCTAATCCGTGTGTAACCCTAAAGGTCCCGCTCGCGGAGGACAAGTCGACCGGTCACCAAGTAGCGGGAATAGCTGGTGCGTCAGGTGAATTCGACGCGGCGTTGCGCCGTAGCTCCAACCGGTTGAGATGGCCGATCTCGCGCTTGGGTCACGAACGAAAGGCGTGGCCGCGTCGAGAGCGGGACAAAGCCGAATTTGAATGTTTCATTTGAATCCCTGTCCGTCGCGACGCGTTGCGTCACGCATCGCTCTTTGCCCTCGTCGAGGTCTCGGTCATGATGATCATTAGCGCACGGCTGCTCTTTATCGGTTTCTCTTTCGTTTCTTCTGTCCTCTCTACGACGACGCAGCTCGACCAGCTTGGAACAGTACAATACGGATGAACGCATGAAGTCGCCGCATGAAGATTTAACCCTTAACCCTTTAACGCCCGACTTTTCTATAAGTGTTTTGAGAATAAAATTTGAGGTTTTCTTGAACTGAGACTATAAGTAGCGATAAGGAAAAAAAATATCAGAATTTTATATTGGTTTTTTTATCGTTTGTTTTTTGTTTATCGGTAAATATGACTCGGATCCTACAAGCGTGTACGAAATGAGCAACCTACACGGAGAAAAATGAAGGGTAATCCATACGACATAACTCTGATAGTCAGCTCGACATTTTTCAACTGAAACTTTACTATATTTGTAAGTGAAGTTTATCATTCAGAGCGACTGAGCTTACTATTTCAGAAGAATATCTCATAGATCACCATTTAGATGGTCAATCGTCCCTTCATTTTTCGCCGCCTAAAAAGCGCTATAGGTTTCACGAAAATAGCTTGATTTCTTGATTTTCGTGTCCGCTATATTGGATTCGCCATTTTGAATTTCTGTATTCCTTTAATTTCACATTTTGCATCTGAGAAAGCTTCCAAATGTATAAAAATTATAACAGATACCAATCTATTCATCTATAGCGCACTTCTAGATGCCAGCAACAATGCTAATTACGCCTACTTGGAATTTGACAAAACATGTTATCGTTAAAACTGAGCTAAAAGCAGATCAAACCGAATCTACAAACAATCTAGCCGCATTCGGCGCTCCTCGCTACGAAGGATCGTAATTCGCACGATAACATCAGCGACATGTATATTTCTTCTCATATATCGCATGAAGAACTGTCATTCAGAATTCGCAGAAGTCGCAGGCTGCGCGCAGTAGATTCTCGATAACTGCGACGGACGTCAGCGTGCCCGATCAGATCAACGTCATCCTACGGAGATCCGATGGTGAATCTGAAATGACCAGTTCTGAACATGAAGAGGAGTTCTGAGTGGTTCAAAGAGTCGTGATCGACAATTGCGAAAGAAGCAAATCGCTCGGTCCACGTCGGTCGAAGAACTCGGAAGCTTCTACTTCTGGCCTGGGATGGACTAACCCGATCTCCCGATGAGAGACGAGAGGACAGGAGAGGAGAGCGTGGACCGGAGTTTGAACCGGAGCGGGCTTTCGGCAATCGATAGGCAAGCTCGTGAGAGGTCGACTGCGCTCGTGGAACTTCGCACGTCCACTAATCAATCCGCGGGCGTTCTCGCGCTTATCAACAAGTGCCGCATACATCTGACCCGGGTAGAGCCGGTAGCCACGTCGTTGACGCCGCTCGTTGGCTGGCTGGTGCGCTAGTCGTGAGGTTCCCCGAAGTCGTGTCACGTCGGCAGTCAGCAGTGCCAAGCCAGGATCGTAACGATCACACCATTCCGGCGCGTTCCGGTGTCCTTGCGCCAGGATATCGCGACGGAGCAGTGCGCGGGTCAGGTGGGTCGCGGCTTCTCCTGGTGTCGCGGTCTTCGTCGTCGACGAAAACCAGCCTCTCGCCGCCCGACTCTCTCTTCGTGTTCGTCAGGGCGTCGCGTCGCGTCGCGTCGCGGCGTGGTTTACTTTAATTGATAGTTCGGTCGCGCGGCGACTTAACGACGCGTTTCGTCCTTTCCCCTGGCGAGAGTGTCCTCGTGCCGGCACGCCGCACGTGAATGAGCACGCGCCAGCGTGACAGCCGCACGCGATTTCCTCCTCGAGTTGCTCGTTTCCGTCTCTTCGATCCATCGGCTAATTACGCGATTCCGTGCGATCCGATTTTCCTTGCGGCTTCCTCGGAGCGCCATTCAACGGATAAGTATGTCGCGCACGTACGTCGCCGGAGAGACGAGGTTTCTCTATCGCCGGGTATCGATCGAGCTGCTATCGAGTTCAATTCGTCCGCGAGAATTTAGATGGCCCGAGGGCGCGCTGATCTACGATAAACGCGATCTCGCTATTTTCAGACACCACCGCCGTAAATCGTCTCGCTTTGACAATCGGGATCGAGTATCTTCAGCCGCGGATCTTGGCATTTTTTACGCTATTTCGGTTGCTGATGGCAGCGAATGGTCATGGTCGGAGCCTGGCCTGCTCTCGGCTTCGACCGACACCGCCGCTCGCTTCCGGACTTTCCGCGGCTTCGGAGTCGCCGCGTCTTCTTCTCGTTTTGGAGAATCTCAGTGTGTCAGCTTGTCTCCGAATAATCTCCCCGCCAGACGAGGTGTGTCGCAATGCACTACTCACCTGCCGCCCGTAACTCATCCTCGACATCGTCTCGCATTCTAGCGGAACCGATGCTGCCCGCGGGAGACTGATAGCGTCACGGAAGTATTTTTCAGCTTTTGGCAAAGTCCGCGCGGTCCTGCGATGGCGCTCGCTGAATAAACAGCAATTATTCTGCTTCGCGGGCTTTCGCGGCGCGCGATAAACGCGCGATAAACGGGGAGATCTCAAAGGTCAGACGGGCAGCTCGCTCTGCCAGATGCTGCTCTATTTCGGAGAGCATTTATTCACGCTTCTGGAAATACTTGTCCAACTCTCCCTGAATTTCGAGAATGCCCAGAGATCTGATACATCGCGGAAATGTCACCGAATTTGGGAACGCCCGTTGCATCGAAGGAAGTCGCAGTCGCGCGCGGTATTCGAAGTAGACGCGAGAATCTCGCGATTGAGAGCCATTATTCCCGCTGCGTTATGCGGGCCAATCTGGCCGATCTGATCGATGCACGCCAGGACGCTGGAGCAGACGCGAGGGTGCTCTCTCGCGGGCGGGAGAAAGGTGGCGCGGATTTCGAAAAGCGGCCGTCGCTAAGAATAGACGCGCCTCTTCGTGCGTGAGCGGCTGTGCTTTTAAACATAGTTTTGGCAGGGAGAAACGTCAAAACGCCTCGGAGTGGCGAAGCGCGAGGATCGCCTCGCGAATTTCGCTCTCGTACTCTCGCGCTCGCCGAGGAACTCTCGCCTGGCTGCTGTCTCTCTTTGTTTGTTCTGTCTCCTCCTGTCTCAGCTTCCATCCGGCGTGTAAAATCCACCTCTCTCCTCCTCCCGTAGATCTCCTGTCCTGTCGGTTGTCGCTCGGTTTCCCCCGGAAACGTCCGCGTTCTCTTTGACAGAGGTGCTGGTGAATGGAGACGCGACTATGAGAGGTGCGTCGCAGAAGAGCGACAAGGAGAACCAACGACCCATGGCGACGACGCAGCCCACCGTCGACGACGAAGACACGGCCGACGTCCAGCAGGAAGAGTAAAGAACCTAGAAGACAGAGTTGTGTGTTTCGTGTGTGTGTGTGTGTGTGTCTGTGTGCGCGTAGCGTCCCATTGGCACTTCCGCTCGCGATCATGCAAACGCGATGCGCATTCTTGGTCGGGAATCTTCGTTTCTCGTCACGTTGCCTCCCGTCGACGAACGAACGTGGCGCGAGGACTCGCGCGAGGGATCGTCTCGCAGGACTCATCTCGCTCGTTCCGCAGCCAACAAGCTTCGCGTCGTCGGCAGGTCGGCGTCCCGCTTCACGTAAACACGCGGACTCTCCAGCGCGCCACCGCACCGCCGCGTGCGCTGACGAATCGCTTCATTTATTATTCGCAATTACGACGAGCTCGCTGCTCGCCTCGCTCGCTTTTAGCGCTCGGCTTAAGCGAATTTCGCGCAAATCGCCGATAAATCGTGAAAGGAAGGATAATCCGCTGCGCCGCGCCGCGCCGCGCCACGCCGCGTCCTCGCTCGCTCGCTCGCTCACTCGCTCGCATGTGCGTGCTGTATTTATTTCATCGGCCATTTTCTCACTCTTTTTCGTTCCTCTTCCTTTTTCTTCGTTCGAAAGCGCGGCGCGTACTACATACCGCCGGCGTTGCGATTTGTTGCGCGCTCGGGGATAGCATTTACGTCCAATTAAGCGTACCGGCATTACCGGCCGCGAAATACCTAACGCGCGCATTAATTGTTCGGATGAAGGGGTCGAGCACGTCAAAGGGGAAGCCCACGAGGAGAGAAAGAGAGAGAGAGAGAGGGAGAGAGAGAGAGAGAGTGAGAGAGAGAGAGAGAGAGAGAGAGAGAGAGAGAGAGGCACCGATGCTCATTAATTGCGCCGCTTTAATAAGCCGGGGAGTCGAAGAAATTTCGTAATTGTTGTGCCTGCGTTCCGCGAACTGCCCTCCGATGCTCACCGTGTAGCTTTTCTCGTTAGCGCACAGACGCACCACGCTTTACGCAGTATATAACTCACGCATTCGCTTTAATCCCCCGGCGATACGCGCGCGCCCGTTTTGAATTATTACAGGCCGCGCGAGTCGCGCAGGGAGGCGCGCAGCGAGACTTGAAGAGATGGGGAACGTCTCTGTACTCTGTGAGCACACAAATAAACGTCTTTCTCAGCGAAGATCGATTTTTCTTCTTATTTTTGTATCCGCCTGTTCGAGACGAGGTCGACCGCACTGACGACCACGACGACGACGACGACGACGACGACGACGACGACGACGACGACGACGACGACGGCGACGACGACGACGACGGCGATGAGGAAACTTCCTGCGCGTCATCCTCCGCATGGATTTTTCCGCCCGCTTTTCTGCCCGAGCGAGGTCGCCACGCCACCTTCTCTAACGCGATTAAAGACGCGCTAGAATCGCGTCCATAATGCAAGGTATGCGCCGGGATGAAAAATTCTGACGAGGGAAACTCTCTCTCTCGTCAGCATCGAGGATTCCAAGCGGAGCGGCCAAGTTCGAGTCCGCGCCGGCCGATACGCAGTTGGACACTTAATTGTTCGCTAATGAGCGCCGTCGTCGGCCCCCGCGTGGCCTCTCCCCCGTCTCCGCGCGATCCCGCATTATCCCGCGCTACGGTTATTTTCGCGCGCGCCGCTTTCCGCCCTGGCTGCATTAATTAACCTTGGCAACGATGCGCATCGCTTTTCCAATGGTTGACTTTAATCCACGCGGCATTGACTGACTGCGGCCAGATGATCGCGATTAATAGCACTTCCGACCGCCTTGGCCGCCGGCCAATGGAGATTCATTGATGCGACGACAGACGAGCTCGTCGCTTCGCCAGCGATCGCGCGACACAGCCAACGCCATTGTCCGTTTCTCGTTGCGGCGAAATTGATCACATTCGGCGACCTGTCACCTCAACACGCCAACGGCACTTTCGAGCGCTTCTCGCGCGCTTATATGCCACCTGCACAATGGCCGGTGTCACTTCCCTCGCGATAAGAGCCGATCATTAATCAACTTCTTCTTCTTCGGCACTGCGCCGAAAAGGGAGAGAATTAACGTGACAACGAACGAATCTAAAGGCGGCTTTGTCGAAGGAGATGGGGAACTTTGGCTTCTTACGGAGCAGAATTTCTGGCATGTGGAAGTCCGCGAGTCCGTTTCATCGTCACGTTTCTTCAACCGAGCCTTTTCTCCGCGCATGCGGGCTCTCTTGTTGGGCCAGCTGTCGAAGATTGAGGACTGCGAGTCGAATATCGGAGCCTGCCGAGCCAAGAGCGAGATTAATCGACTGGTCGAATCTGTTCGATCTGTTGTCTGCGAGATCCTCAATTTCCGACGTTTGATCCGGCACAGCTTGAAGCGGCGCGATACTGTGCTGGCTTGCAGCTTCTGCTCCCCGGCGTCTTGTTCGTCATTGGGTAATCGCACTGCACGCTTTTGAATCGAGCGCGCGAATGCTTTGACGTTGTTGCGTATCATCGCGATGCGGTGATCGCCGAACCCGACGCACAGGGTGCCTCGGAAATGTCCAGGATTGGATCGAGTTGAGTTAGTTTCACTATAATATCCGTCACATATACTATAGCGGAACTAACTCAACTCGACCCAATCCTGGACATTTCGGAAGCACTCACACTGTTGTGATACAGAAAATTGATTTGTCCAAAACGGTCTACAGCATTCAATCTTCAATCGATCGGGACGATTTGTTTTTCTTCAATGAAGGCGAGAAGATTACTGAGCGATTCTACCGAGCGATATCTTCGATATCAGGAATCCTTACCAAATCCTTGATTAAGACAAAGTATGAAATATTGATACATTTTCAGAAGATGATTTTTTCTACTTCTGTCAACGCGCAAACCATTATAATTGCCAGACAGATGAATCCATGGATTGTGAATCTGTTACTACTCAACTCCTAAACTCATAACCCCGAACCCCATAACTTCAAGCCCTATAACCCCGAACTTCGTAATCTCAAACCCCATAATACTTCGGACCCCGAAACTCAAGTCAACCCGCTTTGATAGAAGTAGAAAAAATCATCGTCCTTTGAAAATGTATCAATATTTCATACTTTGTCTATTAAGGATTCGGTTAGGATACCTGATATCGAAAATATCGCCGGGATAGAATTGTAGGCAATCTTCTCACCTTCATTTAAAGAAAGAAAAATCGTCCCAATCGGTTGACACTTGAATGCTGTTGAGTGCTTTTTGAACATCAATTTCCTGCGTCACAACAACTCGGGGTTATAGGGCTCGAAGTTATGAGGTTCGGGCTTATGAGGTTTGAAGTTTACGAGTCGAGTAGTAAAAGATTTACAATCCATGGATTCATAGTCTGGCAATTATAATGGTTTGCGCGTTGACAGAAGTAAAAAACATCATCTTCTGGAAATATATCCATATTTCATACTTTGTTGTTCACAACACTGTGCGACGTAGCGTGCGTAATAGATGTCTCGGCGGGGCCGAACGGTAATTGTTCTCGTTGTCGATCCCCCTCGACTGGAAGTAAATGACATTTCTCGTTGTTTTCTTGCGGCTGGGTTCAGTGTGATGTCAGCGGGTAACAAAAGCGCGGACGAGGCTGTGAGCGACGCGCTGTTGGAGAAGCTCCGAGCGCACGCGGCTAAGCCGCAAGAAGCAGCCGAGGCGTTCCGGACGGTCCTGGCCAAGATTCACGCGCGTGTCACTTCGTCAGGTACGTACTCTGAATTCTTGCACTTTCGGCGGACGCGATAGCCTAACGGTTGTTCAGCCTGACGATCGTGACGTAAGGCCTCTTGCCGACAGGCGCAGGAGCGTGGAAGATGAAAGGTCTCGCGTGAAGCGCGCTCGCAGGAACAGGCAGAAATTTCGACGGAATGTCGAGCCGACATTCTGGCCCGACATGTCGATTCCTTCGATCAGGATTTTGCTTCGTCCGTTGTCACGCGAACTCGACCAATTTTTCTTCTCGTCTTCTTCCGTGTGTCGTCTGGAAAGTTACACGATTGCGAAAATCGCGCCGGAAGCGCGCGTCTCACGGGTGAAACCTTCCAGCCTTTTCAATTTCGATGATTTCATGCGCTGGAGAGTGCTGAAGCGATGCTGAGAAATATGTCCGGTCTTCGTCTCGATTACGTCGCCAGACCGTTTACCTTCTCATTAGCGCTCGGTATCGCGTGTCGCCTTCGTTAGCGCACCGTAACGGCGCAGGACAAGCGCATGATTGCGCCGGCGCGAATAGCGGCCGCTGCGGCAATAAAGTTCGAAACGAATTGAGGAAGATTGGACATTTAAGGGCGAAATTCGTGCCGGTATATTATTACCTGCCGACGAGCGCGCGATAGGCGAGCTCCGAGACGACGCTGGAACTCGCGCGATTGATCATTCTCGTGCGATAAGCCGGCGCGTTAGTCGGCTATGCTGATCGTCGCTCCGCGCAATATCGCGTACCGTTCTCGCACGTAAAATCGCGTAAAATCCGAAATTCTTACGGAGGAAACATCAGCTGTCGTCCGTGCCCCCGGTCGTGAAAGGGACACGCGATTCGGTGATCGTGTTCCGATCATGACTGCTCTCGGTGTCCGATCTTGCGCGACCAAGTTGTGCGATTCGCGGCACTTTCTGGTAAATCGCCATCAACTTGACGCCATCGTTTACGCCAAGCTGAACTCCGACTTCCGACGTGTCTCGCGAATGACTCGCGAGTGAGACCAAGACGAAACTCCCCGCGTAATCGATCAGCTGATAGAGTACAAGCTGTTGGGTGAGCAAGAAAGTGTTCTGAGCTGTTTCTTTGCAAAATTCGATCTTTATCCAACAGAACCAAACGAAAAAATATTAATCAGCGAAATATTCCCCGTTTGCATCGATGACCTTTTCAGTCAGCGCGGAGTTTATGTCCAGCAATGCTTGCAATTTGTCCGTTTCAATCTCTCGAGGGCGTCCAGCAAGCGGTTCATCCTCAAGACTGAAATCTCCTTGGCGAAATTGTTTATACCATCTTTTACATGTAGCATGACTTACAGCGTTCTCTCCATATGCAGCACAAATCATTTCAGTGGCTTCAGCAGCATTTCTCTTCAGATGAAACGCGAAGTGGATGGACAATCGAATATGCTCTTTTGTTATCGCCATCGTGAACATCACTGATTTTTCAGGTTATGTGCATCAACCGCATGGCATTTTAAAAAGCCTGATGTCAACGCTTTAAAACCGCAAAAGGGCGGGAAGATAAATAAACTTTAAATTGTTGCTTCGGTTGTATCAAATCTAAAGCTCAGAACTCTTTCGCTCACCTAATACTTCGGTTAGAAGGAACGGTATAAGGAGCACGTCGTCGAACCTGTTCGCTCTCGTCATTTCCGCTTGAACTTTCGCCGTCGCGTGCGCCCGTCAGACGTCAGTCGTCCGATCTAGCCGGAATTTTCGGACACCTGGCGCGAACAGGTGCCGGTGTGCAAACAGTGGCCGGTCACCCTTCATTTCGATTGCGTAATGATTTTCGGTGAGGCTACGGCAGATCCGTTGGATGCGCTCCAGCGCGAGCTGTGCGGCTCCGGACGATGCACACGCTCTTGTGGAGCGCGCGCCAATTTGATAAGGCGAGAATGAACAATCTAACGGTCCTCTTGGCCGGCACCACCGCGGAAATCGCGGGACTCTCGCCCGCTCGCTCGCTCGCTCGCTCGCTCGCTCGGCCCGCAAGCTATCTCGTCGCTGCTAATAGCAGCCGAAATTTTGCGACATAGTTGGACACGTACAACGCGCGGACGTTACTAAATTTCCACCGCAGGCCACTCGCCGACGCGTCGCGCCGGCGGGCGCATTTAATTACGACATCAGGAGCAAGAATTAAACATTTAGCGGTTCAGCGTGGATCGCGCGGATTTATGTTACACCTTGCCGAGAATCACGCACACGACGACCGTGTGCGTCGCCGTGAATTCTTCATGATTATCGCTCGCGACGTCGGTATCAATTGGCGTGGCGTCAAGTCCGAGAGAATCGTGCCAATGCACGGCGTCTCTGACTTCTCGCGAAGAATTCTCTCCAAGCACCGGTCGTTTATTAGCGCTGAGGCCGCGATCCAACATTGGTAACATTGACGATGTCCGGCGCTCCGCGAGCGCGAGTTACGACCTCACGAATTCAACCCTGGGAGTGCGGACGGAGCGCGCGTTCGTTTGTTAAGGGGAGGTTCTCGTGTAGAGACCTAAAAGGTAGCTCAATTTTGGGAATCTTTTTCAAGCGAATTCTAAGGGATATCAATGGGAGAGTTTTTGCTATAAATTTATTGTACTCTTGGTACGCAAAATACATTTTTTTTCGTCAAAAAAGTACGAGTGCTTCCGGTGGGCCGCGCAGGATTTGCTGCCGTTGCTCATCAAAAGCACTCACTTCCCTGTTTTTTCTGACAAAAAAATGTATTTTGTATACTAAGAATATAACAAATTTATAGAAATAAAAATCTCCCATTGATATCCCTTGCAATTCGCTTGAAAAAAATTCCCAAAGTTGAGCTACTTTTTAGGCCTCTACATGAGAACCTTTCCTTAACGTCGTGGCGCGCGGAAAGGAGGCACCGTGACGGTGAACGTGCATTATCCCGAAGAATCAGCATTTCGAAATTTTGGAAAGTAACATTTTCCGGGAAAATTCCTTTCCAGGATAATGTCTCGCTTTGTAATTTTCGCAAAGATCTTCACGGGACGATGCATGCCCACCGTCGTAACGGCTAGCGCCATATTGCGCTTGCGAGCCGCGGCCGCAATCTGAGGGTTGATTACGGAAGAGCGAGGAGGGAAAAGGACGAAGGGACAAACCAGGCTGTTGAAAATGTGTTTTGCAGACCGGCGGATACGCGAGCGCACATTGGAGAAGCTCTGGCAGAAGAACTCCGGCGCGATGGAGTCGTTCATGGTGGCGCTGGAGGTGAATAATTTTTAATTAAAGTAACCCCTCGGGGTGAGTCGTCGTTATGTGTCATTTCATCGGCAACGTTCGTTGCAACGTGCATACCTTATCGGCGCGCAGGGATAAGCTACGAGCGTTTCGCGTGTTAACAGCCTCACTGATCGATCCTGAACGCACGTGTACGTTGCATGGGTGCGTGTGTGTGGGTGCGAGCAGGAGAGAGAGAGAGAAAGAGAGAGAGAGAGAGAGAGAGAGAGAGAGAGAATTATTACGGGCGTTTACGGTCGCTCTCGGCCGGTCGTTCGTTCATATCGAGACACACACACACATATAGCGTGGAAGCAATTAAGGAGTTTGGATAACCGCGCGCGCGCGCGCGCGCGGTAATCTGCCGTTATCCGCGGAACTGCCTGGCGGTGTCATGCGACACGCTCCGCGTTCCGCATTGTCTGCACGCCTGGGAAAGCCCCGCGAAGCACCTAGCTCGTAAAACTGGATACTCGCGCCTGTTTCAGTTGCCGACAAGTGTTGTGCGCGCAGTGTAGATTAGAGTAATCGCACGGACGCCGGCGTGTTCACGCGACTGTGTAATTACATTTTAGCGCGTTATCTCGCGCCGAGCGAGATGTCTCGGGCCTCTCTCTCTCTCTCTCTCTCTCTCTCTCTCTCTCTCTCTCTCTCTCTCTCGTAGTTGGACCGTTAGACAGACGGAAGTGGGAAGCGCGCGAGCTTCTCTCTCTCTCTCTCTCTCTCTCCCTCTCTCCCTCTCTCTCTCTCTCTCTCTCTCTCTCTCTCTCTCTCTCTCTCTCTCCTTTCCCTCGCTTCGCGATCTAACGTATTATAAAGGAGCGTGCGTGATTAAAATAATGACGATGCTCTTCTTTTCAGACCTGCAAGGATCACGTCGCCGACTGCAGTATCACCGGCATTCTGCACGAATGCATATCGCCCCGAGCGAGCAAGAGCAAGTCCAAGAAGAAAGGCAGCAAGAACAAAAGTGCCACAAGTAAAACGGCAATCGCTCATTGCGAAAAAAAAAGAATAAGAAAAGAAAGATACCGTTGTTGAGTAGTAAAGAGAGCTCGCGTATATTCGTGTAGTCGACATCGAGTCTTTCGGGATCGGGAGTAACGCGCTTGTTTTTCTCTTCTTTTTAACAGGAACCAGTAGCCGAATGGCGGTCATTCAACTGATCAACTTGGGTATCACGCAAGTCCTAGTTAAACTTTTAATAAATCTCCAACACGCAGACACCATCACGAACGAAATGCTCACCCAAGACATCCTCAGTATTTTGGGCCAGGTAATTCTCGCCAGTTCCAAGATCCATGTGTGTCTCTTTTACTTTTTTGTTTTTTATACTTTCCGACGTGAAATGAAATTATATCCAAGTTTTTCAAACGAAATCAATGACAAGGGGATAAAATTTCGGTCAGGTATAATAAACATGAATATTTTAGCAAACAGTGAGTACGTACCGAGAGATAAATATTTTTACGTATATACATCGATATTTTTTATGTAAAATTTTTAATTATTTCATGAATTTTATAAAAATATATTTTCACATATATATACATATATATATATATATATATGTTTTTATGTCTCTGAATATATCGAACATTTTATAGATTTTCTCTACAAGATATGAAATACATCGCGTTTGTTTCCAGGTGGCGCAGAGGGACCAGAAGTTCGTGTCGAAGATGAAATTGCTCAATTCCATCAAAGTGTTCCATACGCTGCTAAGACAGCACTATAACAACAGCAAGATATTACTGCCGTTGCTGTTGATCATCAAGACTCTCGCGAAAAACCGTAAGCGATCATCGATCCTCGGATCACTTTGTGCGTTCATTCGATACAAGCACGATCGTCTCTTCGGCAGCTTTTTCCTTACAAACCCTGGTGAAGGACGGCATCGCCAATACCTTGGAGAAAACGTTCGTCAGCGTCGGCTATACACCGCACTTGAAATTGAGAACTCTGTTGGAATGCCTCAAGCACTTCACGACCAACAGTACGTACACACGCATTCCTCGTTTCCCTCTATCAGCCCGATTATCCTCTTCCCTTTTGTTCCCCACCCCCCCACCCTCCCACCAATTTTCTTCGCATGACGCTCCCAGTTGCCAGTACCTCCGACATGGCACTTTGCTTTCAGAGCTCTGCTGCAATAAACTCGTCAAAGTGGGAATAGTGCACCTGCTGATGCGAATATTCGAAAGGTGGGAGCGCTTCGACGGCCCGATGCGACTGAAAATTTGTAATTACGCCCTGAACACTCTTCAGCATCTCTGCGTGATAAGTAAGTTCGTCGTCTGGTCAGGCCTTGGTCAGGAATTTCCCGATAATTCGGAGGACAGCACGAGAGCATGTCGTGTGTCTCGCGTTCGTGTTGCTTTTCTCGTCTTTTGAACGCGCGTCATTCTTGAAAGTCCGACCGGCGAGTCATGCGTGTGCTCTCTTCTCTTTGTCCACTCGCTCTAGAAGCCGGCAGGAAGGCTATCAAGTCGAACAACGGCCTACAGCTACTGTACCGGTTCTGCACGAACTGTCCGGAGGACAAAGCCTACGACTGCCTGCTGTCTCGTATTTGCGGTATAATCAATCAGTGTCTGGAAAAGAAGGAATTACCGGTGCCCGAAATGTCGCCCGCGAGGTGAATGAAACGTTCGAGGTCGTACCGACCGGTCCATCGCGAATCCAGCCTGCCATGCGTGCGACACTCGTGATACACTTATTGTTCTACGGAGTGTTGTATCGAAAGGTGCTTCGAGGCTTTTTGCAGGCTCGTGGTACTCGCTGAGCTGAGCGAACAATGCTTTGTCAACACAGCTATGCGAATCGATTTACCTCTCGGGATAAACGTGGGAAACGTGGTGGTTACCCCGCGGTGTGAAGAAGAGAGAACTCTTACGGATTGTACGGAATTGTCTTATCACTTTTTACGAGACATTTTCTCATTTCGTTTCTTTTTTTTCGCCTCTTTCGTGATCGTTATTATTCTGGGTGTTACATCCCTTTCGACATTTTTGTAACACCAGAGAGGGGATTTTCTCTCGTTAACAAAGTGAGATTTGAATTTCGGTCTGTCGTAAAGAGAGCATTCCGCACGTCATTCTTCCATTTTCAGTACGTATCGTCGATGTTATGTCGGCTGAGCACTACTTTCTGTTCGATCTAATGAGTGCAACTGCGAGCCTGCGAGGCTCTTTAATCACCTTTCGATAACTTCCTGCAGGTCTTAACGAGTGCTAAGTAATTCCCCAGTGCGCATTATGCAAGAGCATAAGTGAATATTACAGGCTGCGAATCTACACGATGCGTAACGCGCGAAAAGCACCGGTGTAATACATAAAATGATTATTTATCCAGAGATCATGCTGTTTTTCAAGTACAAAATTTCCACATTTTTGTACGACGTATAAGCACACCTCGATTCACCGGCTCTGTAATTATCTCACTAAAAATCATTCCATTCGCGGAATCAATCACCCGCCTGTATCCGTATCGCTTCAAGCACACTTTGTGTTCGGCTTGTGCCTCGCGTTCTAATGACAAGTAGGTATCCAGTATACCGAAACAAAGAAACCGAAACAGCTAACGGTAGTCTCGTTACGCAACATAATCGGACTTGATTGGAAACTAATCGGATTGTCAGTGGCATGATTATATGTCTTTTTGATGAGGACAACGTCACACGCGCGGTAACTAAATTCTCGACCGACTCTTCTTTTTTCTGCATGCAGATTCGTTTTGCCCGAAGTGAATGTCAGGGCGAATAGCGCTGAAAGCGGTAGCGACATCGACAGCCAGGTGTGTACTTTTCCCTCGCGACACCTTTCAGCCCGACCTAGCGCTCTCGCTACGTGACCGCTCAGGGATTGCCGATTGAAGATGAGAACTTGAAGAGTCGACGTGATCAAGATCGAAATTAGTTGATTCCAGTATCGGGCACTGGTCGATCGAAATCTCAGTCGACGGAAACAATCGGCAAATCGTCAGTTTAAAACTGATCGATCGCCACACGCATGCAATCATGAATAATTTAATCGATCAATGTAATTATTAATTAATTAACGTATTAATTAATTAATCGATCGGATTAAAATAATCGATCGGGGCAGTGATTGCGCGTAATCGCGATGTAATCTCAATGTTAGTATGAATTATCTCGGTCAACTGAAATTTTTATCGATCAGCTGACTCTTCAAATTCTAAATTCTGTTCCGCGATCGTCGAGTCTCCAGCATCACCTCAGCCTTGACGCGGACTCGCAGCGTAGCGCACTCGTCGACGGGGAGCATTGCGGCCCTTCATAATACGATTTTCGCTTTACGAACGTTACGTTACGTAACCCTTACGGTACCGTTGTATTCCCTCGTGACTAGGATATCTATTTCCGCATAGGCGAACAGCGTGGTGTCGGCCGGCAGACTGTACAGCGATCTGGACTCCGGCGATGATGAGGAGGAGGAGGAGGAGGAAGAAGAGAGCCACGACTCCAGAAACACGATCGACAACGCGATCTACATGAGCGACGAGGTGGACGAGGGCAAATTCTTCGCCGGGGTCTTCACGTCGCAAAGGTCCGAGGAGGATCTCGTTGGGTACGCGGCGGCTCGTCTTGTCGTTGATGTCGATTCCATATCCTTTCAAATATCCTTTCAAGTATCCAATTCCTTCGGAATCTCAATTTCCCTACACGTGTACCAAACATACTTCTCCTCTCCCCTACAAATAGAGAAGAAAGAAATAACAGCAGATACCGTATAACGTGTCGGTGAATTCGTCCCATTCACAGGTATCACACGTTCTTCCGCGAACTGGGCGGCCTGCGATCGCAGCTGCGCATCGCCGGCTCATCCGCCGCCAAGCTAAGCGAGTTTGGCTTCATCGAGGACGATCAAACGGACTCGCAGCAGCTGACGAGGAGGACTGGAAAGGCCAAGACACCCCCGAGGGATTTCACGAGACTGAACGGCACGACGAAGCAGCAACCTGTGACGGGCGACAGGCACCGATTGAAGATCCTGGAGGACGCGTCGGCCGAGCTGACCGACCAGGACGCGTATTGCGCGATGGCGAGCAGGGTGAGGAGCGTTATCGGCTTCGTGAAGGTCGCCTATCCGGACTGGATCGGCGGCGATGGGTCGAGGGAAGCCGAGCCGCTCAACACCAAGGACCGCAAGGTGTGCCGCGCGAAATTGCTCACCTGCGTGGAGCGCGGTCTCCACGCCTCCACCGTCCAGGAAGTCGTTTACGACCTCGACGCTGTCGCGAGTCACGCCTGCCGCCAGGGGCGAGACGCGAGGCCGCTCGACAACTGCGACGAGAAGAGGCTCGGCAAGCGCGCCTCGCCGGAGACGAAGCAGTTGCAATTCGAGTCGAGATTCGAAAGCGGAAACCTCAGGAAAGCCATTCAGGTATAGGCCGGTACACTCGCGATCTTTATGTAATCGATTATGTTGGCGTTACATAAGGCCTGCTGTCGCGACGATGCAATGCGGGAGTTTCTATCGAGTTCTATCCCAGCCTACATACACGAGTACCTCGCGTTCGAAAGACGTAACGTGAGCCACTAGGTGAGCGCTCATTCTGCCATTGGAATGTTGAGAAAGATAATCACTGATCGCTCACGATCGTAACGCTTCGCTCCGCTGAACCACCCACGCGCGCGCTCTTTTTCTCTCTCGAAACGTCCTCACTATTCTTCGTCATGGTCCTCTTTATTCCTTCGCGCGCAGATTGGCCCGCGGGAGTACGACCTCATCCTGACACCGGACGTCAACAGCGGCTCCCGGCATCAGTGGTTTTACTTCGAGGTCTCCAACATGGAGGCGAACGCGCCGTACACGTTCAACATCATCAACTGCGAGAAGGCGAACTCGCAGTTCAACTTCGGCATGAAGCCGATACTGTTCAGCGTGACGGAGGCGAAATGCGGCCGAGCGGGCTGGGTGAGGACCGGCGTCGACATTTGTTATTATCGGAACTGTTACCAGCGGCCAGCCCGGGGCAAGACCTACCTGACGACGTCCTTCACGGTCACGTTTCCTCACGCGCACGACGTTTGTTACCTGGCCTATCACTTCCCCTACACGTACAGCCAGCTGATGACCAATATCTGGAAGTGGATGAGGAGGAGCGCCAACGCGAAGCTTTATTTCCGCGCGGAGACGCTCTGCGAGACTCTCAACGGCAATGAGAATCCTGTGCTCACCGTCACGTCGCCGGATTCCAGGAGCAACCCCATACATGTGAGAATCGCCTTTTCTCTCTCTCTCTCTCTCTCTCGAGACCAAAGTCTCCGATAAGTATAAATATAACGTTCGATCGCGCTCGACGTGGCAGACACACTCGAACGGTAAGCCCTCGTGTTTCGCTGTTTCAGGGCCGCAAAGTGATCTTCTTGACGTCCAGGGTGCACCCTGGCGAAAGCAACGCCTCGTGGGTAATGCACGGAACGCTCAAGGCCCTCCTGAGCGACAGCCAATACGCCTGCAGCCTACGCGACGATTATGTGTTCAAAATAATTCCTATGCTAAATATAGAAGGAGTCGTGAACGGCTGGTGAGTGTTAACAGTTGCACATTTTGCCGCTTTTATCGAGCAACAATCTGCCTGAATAACTTCTGCATTCGAATGACTTCTCCTGGCACACTCGAGGCGTCGTACAAAGCGAGATGCTGACGGTAACGTTAAAGGGGCTAAACGTTGATAGGCTTAAGATTGTGGTCGTATCTTTATTAAAGTTCAGTTATACAAGTCGCACACTCGCGTCGTTGTATATAGAATTAATGTATATGTGTGTACGTGTGCGTGTGTGTGTGTGTGTGGTTGTGAATATATGTGTGTGAAGAGGGTGAAGTGACTTATCGTAGCAGCTAGAGCGACGTTTCACGTAGACGGAGCTACAAAAAACACGCCGATCGTCATACGTCTGGATGACCGAAACGTTTCTCGCGAAAGCGCCGAACCGGGCGGTGGTCTCCCTCGACACACCTCGACGCGTCTCAGCAACCCCCTGGAACGTCATCCGGTCGGCTGCCTAACGTCTCGTCTTGCAGACGTATGAAGACGTTCGATATTAACTATGATAATTATTCCCTTACGCATGAGGATAAGAAGACGTCGCGTGTCTTACACCGATTGCGATACGATGGACCTCGAATCTCTCCGATATATACGCGTGCACGTAACACCCGTTCGCGTTTCTTTGTCTCTCTTCATCTTTTCGTTTGTAGCAACAAATCCGTCTCGATATCGCGCGCGAACGATTGCCGATTGCTGATCGATCGATCATAGAAACCAGCGGAATCAGAACGAAAAGCGAGGGTGTGGGGTTGCGAAGCGACAACGAGAGGGCGATTTTTCTAAGAGAGAGAGAGAGAGAGAGAGAGAGAGAGAGAGAGAGAGAGATGGGGAGGAGGAGAAAGAAAGAGAGAAAGAGAGAGAGAGGAGGAGGAGGAGGTTGGTCCGCCAGCGCGATTGACGATCGAGGATGAGAACGGAATTATCGAGTGAATGCCCTTGCGAAGAAAAATGTACAGCTTGTCGTGTAACGTCGGCAGGAGAGTACTCGGTTATTCTTCCAATTCGACTCACACAGTCGCGATTCGGCCTTTTCTCGACGTTCTCGACGGTACATTGTTTACCTCTCGTTTTCCCCTGCATCTTTTCTTCTGTTTTCGAAACAGTCCCCTTTGCCTGCCGCCGACCGAGGAAGCTATGTGTGTGTTATAATATATGTATCGAGGAACGTGCGATCCTCTCTGATCCCAAGGTATGTCGAGAGCGTTATGTCGGCTACGCCCCAAGTTACGGAGCTCTAAACGGCGAGCGGTGACAACGGCGAGTTGTCTGACCCGCGCGACCGCGACATCTCGCTCGTGTCACACGGGGGGGGGGACGGGGTATACGCGAAACGTACTCGTGATAAACATACATACACATACATATATATTTATATATATATATATATATACATATATATATATATATATACCCAAGTTTTTCCTCAAGAATATCTCGATCTCGCTCGTGTCGTGTATTACACTTATTACAACGAAATAACGCGACGTTGCCTAGGAAGTAAAGCGTTACTTGGACGGAGGGTCTAATACTTTGCCGTTGGTGCGTACTTTGATGTTGTACCTGTAGGCCGGTTCCGCCTCTGGCAGGATCGTGCTGCTGTCGTCGTCCTGGTCCTTCATCATCGCCGAGTCCGCCGCCGGCGTGTCCTCCGCCGGCTGATCGTTCACGTAATCCTGCACGCTGTCGTACGGCCCGATCGTGTGGGCGTCCTCGAGGCCGTTGTTCGGCAGCTCGGTCTCCGCCGTGAGGTCGCCGTAGTCGGCTGCCTCGCGATGCTCCATCCTCATCTCCGACAAGGAGGAGGAGGAGGAGGAGGACGAGGACGGGGACGAGGAGAAGGACGAAGGCGCGGCGGGAACGACGGGACGGCTCGCCGACGGTCGTAGAATCTCGCGGGTCTCCAGACCCTCGAAGACGCTGTCCTTGCGCGCCTGCGATACGCCGGCGTGCTCGGTGAAGAGGCTCGCGATGTCCGGAATGTGTTCCGGTCGGCTGTCGTCCAGCTCGCCGGCGGCCGAGCGCTCGTGCTCACGAGCAGCGTCGTCGACGTCGTCGTCGTCGTCGTCGTCGTACAACGACGTCGCCGACGTCGTCGTTCCCATGTGCTGCTGCTGCTGCTGCTGCTGCTGCTGCTGCTGCTGTTGCTGATGCTGATGCTGCTGATTGCCAGATGCGGGAGCGGTCGTGGTGATCAGCCTGCTGACGACCGGGTCCTCTGGTAGTTTCTCGTCGGCGGACGCGTCCGCTCGCGGTGGTGTCGCCTGCTCGTCCAGAGCGTCGGTCCCCGGGTGCTGGTGATCGTCGATGATGGTGCTGTCGGTTTCGCGATCACTCACTGTCTGGTCGTCGCTGGCTGGCGCCGAGGTGGTCGTGATGTAGGGTCTGTGATTTCTGGAAGGACGAGATAGAGAGAGAGGTTCGTTTAGGGCTGGTTTGCTGTCTCTTTATCTCTTCTGCTCTCCTGCTCTGTTGCGCGACATTTAAGCAGCCACACGATCTGTCGTGGGATTCTCAACTCAGACTGACTGAAGACCAGAGCATGTTACAATCGTTAGTACCTTGACTTAAGCGCTATATTATTATTGGCGTACAAAAGCGTAGCTTCACTTGGTTGCCTGCAAGCTCACCTCGACTTGGTGGGCAAGCTCACCAGCAGCAACTCTGCACCACTCGTCAACCTCTTGGTCGCGAGTCCCTTTGGATCGCATCGAGTGAAGCCATACTTTTTGCTAGCTCGCGTGTGTGCATGTGTGTCTGTGTGTGTGTGTGTATGTGTGTGTGTGTGTGTGTGTGTGCGTGTCTGCGTGTGTACCATGAAGAATGCGTCGTTTGCTGTGAGCGGTGTGTGCGTCAAGAAGCGAGAGAAGAACTGCGTTATTGAGAGTTAAGCTGGCAAAGTGTCCCGGCGTAGAGCGCGAGCGAGCTACTCCCCCGGCCGTCGACACTTCCATCCCCAAGCTATTAGGTATGCGGGCGAGATCTCGAGGCGAGACTGGTTTAACGCCGTCGTTATCGGCCTACCTAGCGTATCACGATCTAGCGCGTACATAAACACACGCATAATCACGCACTCCCATTCCGCCGCGCGGAATCCCAACCGCGGAAGAAAAGCGTTTTTGCGCGCTCGTCCCAAGAGGCTGAGCTATCCACGCGCGCGCAGCGCGTCGAGGGAAAAAAGCTCGGTGCCGATTAAACAGGACTCCTCGCGTCTCTCCTCGTAAATTTCCCGTTTACGCGCGAAGAAAAGGGACGAGCGATCGGGCCGGTCGAAAGGACGGAAAATCGCACGCGCGGGAACGAGCGCTCACTTACTTACGAGCGGAGGACGCGTTTACGCGTGTAATAATAAATTTTCATACCAGCTCGTGGCTGTCGTCCCGCATACTTCGGTAGCACGACGGATAAACGCTCGGATTATCGCGACGCGCTTTGCATATCTTATCATCACCGGGCTCGTTTATTTTTTCGTCCGTGCAAAAGCGAGATTCACTTTGAGTACATTGACATTCCTGGATTCTCTTTCTCTCCCTCTCTCCCTCTCTCCCTCTCTCCCTCTCTCTCTCTCTCTCTTTACCTCATTTTCTTCCTCTTTCCCCTCGCTCTCTTTCTATCTCTTTCTCTCTCCTTCCTCCTGACGGGCTCGTGTATTTTTGTGACAAGTATTATCTCACCTCTTACCCCTGAGTCGCGGAGACTGGAATGCTGCCGTAATTGTAGTAGTAGCATCTTGTTTGCTCGCAGATAAAGTCTTTCACGAGGGTGCAGTCCTGCGCCTCCCAGGTTAACGTGGGTGCCATCATCGCGACGCATCCATCCGCGCTGCCGCTGTCGCCGCTGAAACCGAGAGACTCGCTTTTTGGAATTTAAACTCGTCAACGCCTCGAACGACGATCGTCGTTGGTTTATCAGATATTCCGCGCGCGTGTTTCCGGCTATCCCCTCGCGTCGGACTGCGGAAGAGTCGGCCGATAATCATTATTCGTGTGATAACGGCACGCTCAACTACACACGCGATACTTTTACCGGGAAAATCGCCGGTGAACGAACTTGTTGTCTCTTGGGAGCCGAATTTCGCGACATCGGAAACAATTACAGATCTCTCGACTCTAAGATTTTTCACGGGATCGTACAAGTCTTTCTTGCGCGAGAGATGTCGGATTTGAACGAGATAAGGCTTGACGATCGTAAGGATTTCTTTTCGTAGGTCATATCAGAGCTTCCAAGCGCCTCGATAATTTTTATCGTACCGTGCGTTTCATGTGATGAAATTCTTTTGCGATGACAAAAAGGCACGAAGGGCACTTATTCGCCCAGGCACTGGATCAAAGATTACCTTTCACGCGCCACTCTCTGGGGTTCGGTGCCGGGCGGCACGTCGGCGGGTCTGTTGCCAGGTCGCTTCAGCATGTAGTCGAAAGTGACGTTAAAAGGCAGCCCAGTGCTCATCCAGAGAAACATGTCCGTGCCCAGCTTGTTGCCGGATGTCCAGAAGTCGTATTTCGTGTAGCCGGCGTTCTTCAGATACTGGGTCATCGTGTCGGCCTTTTCTTTCGTTTCGAAAGATGCCAACTGGAGACCCAGCGAACGACAATACTGATACGCCAAGAAGTAATTCAGCTCGGGACTGTAGGGATTCATTCGCGAGACGAAGTACTGTATGCCGTCCAGCTGGATCGTTGTGATTCTTTGAGCTGCGAACGAAACATTTTCTTCAGTTGGTTTGATTGATTTTATCCCCCAAAAAAAAGTTTCCTTTCCATTTAACGACTTCCCTTTCCTCGACAATGGTCGCGTCATGTTCTATTTCGAGTTACGCGTAAGATCGCGAATCGCGCTTCGTAGCGCGTAACTCGCGTCATTTCTTCTGTGAAATTGGAGCGAGTCGGTCGATCCAATTCCTACAATAGCCGCAATAATGCAGACGTAAATGCGTGGGACGCGTAGGAACAAAGCAGGCGTTGCCTGCTAAAATTAACTCGCGCGAAATAAGCGCGTTAATAAGCGACATACCTATCGAAAGAAAAGACCCATCGCGGTTAATGAAGAAGTAGCAAGTTCAGCGGTCCACTGATCGAGATTATTCTTTCTCAAGTTTCTACATAATCTCGATTACGCGCAAGAATATAATGAGATTTCTAAAATTAATTACTCCAGGAAGGTCATCTCTCTCTCTCTCTCTCTCTCTCTCTCTCTCTTCTGCCTGCGATCGATCGAGAGGGCACTTTGTTAAAAAAAGAAGAAAGGAAGAAGCAGCTCCTTGGCTCCCTGCTTGGAGCACGTGCCTGTCATTGACTTCCGACAAGGCCGCAAATGGCAGCGGAGACGCGAGAATAATTCGTTCGGTGAATTCTAATCCAGTTAACAGCCCGCTTTGGTGCCACGAGCGACGCGATCGAGAACCGTTACGCACACAGACGCACACGGCCGCCGAGAGTACGAGCCGTATGAGCCAGGATGCAAACAATAAGCCGACGCGTTATCGTTATTTCAAGTAGGGCTGGTTACTCTTCGGCAGCTTCGAAGTTCCGCAGCTTCAAAGTTTCGAATCATTCGAAGCTTCGAAGTCGAAACGTCCAAGTTTTTGATGCCGAAGCTTCGAGAACTAGTCTTCGAAGATATCACTCTTCGAAGCTTCCAAGGATGCGGGGCGGTTGTTTCCGAGCCTGCGCTCGTTGTTGGTTCTGCACGCACATATATTGCATCTCTAGGCCATCTCGGTCATCTATTCTACATTCCGCGGGTAACAAAAGTAAAGTATAAAAAATCAGGCAATACATAATCTAAGTTGAAAAAAATTTTTTACACAGCTATGCTCTGCAGCACTTGGAAAGTGCAAACTTGCGATTATCATGTGATTGATAGTGTGAAAACGATTCGTTCATTTCCAATTTTTATTCTCCTCCTCAAACGTATATTTCTATTCTGTTTACACCTTCGAATTCTCGAAATTTTCAAGTTCGAAGGGGTTCGATGCTCCGAAGCTTCGAATACGAAGACTCCGAAGAAAAATTACACTTCTAATTTCAAGCGCCGACGCGTCTGTAAATAAGTCACGCGCAATGACGAAATGTCCAGGCTGCTCGCGCATGCGCGCGCCATTATGTAAGACCGCGGAAGACTTTTGAATCCGTAATCCACTAAGTAGCGTCACTCGCTCATTATTACGCGATATGTGCGCGATACAATGAGGTGAGGGCGAGGGGGGAGACGCCTCTCGTAAGAGGTCGTAAATCGAAGCGACTGCTTCTGGCGTGTTTTGTTTCTTCCTCGCCAGCTTCCTTGCGGCGGCTCGTAATAAGATTTTAATTTCATTCTAAATGCTCGACGCGCGCGCAGCGCGTTTTTCCTCGACCTCGCACTATGACTCGAAGCTTCATGAGAAGGGCACCGGTCGCATGATACATCGGCACGGGAGTTCATTGAACCAGCACGGCTATTTGGTTAACTGTACTTATGAGCTACAAGACACGCGCGAAACCTCCGAATAAGCCTCTAGCTGATGAACGACGCGCGACTCATTAACGTGAGTTTGTGTCTATGTGGTCGCTTTCCCGACGCGCGATCGATCCTCGCGCTCGTCTCACAGCGGAAATCGCGAGACAGGATCGGGCTCTTCGGCTTGTGAGAATAAATTAAGTTACGCATCTGGAGAGCAATCGCTTCCGTAGGAAAAAAAAAAGAAAAAAAAACAGTCAAAAGATGAAAAAGACGCGCGAGAAGCAGTTTCTGTAGAAAATAAATCAAAAGCAGCAAGAGAGGGAGATGACGGATGACTCCTTAGCGAGATAAAGGTATGAAGAGAGATAAAAGGACAAAATGGAGAGTGAGGAGATGAGCGTCGAAGCAGACACCGCGAACGATCCGTAAATGCAGCGTAATCGTCTCTCATCGAGTCTTCCACGGGGAGAGACTCGCGCTCCCGTCTCGCCTCGCGAACGCCTCCTCGACGAAATGAAAACGACTGACTCCCCTCGCGAGAGAGAGAGAGAGAGAGAGAGAGAGAGAGAGAGAGGGAGGAGCAGGCGGGCAGAGAAAAATTCTGCGTGTATGCAAATTGAATAGTTACATCGACGCGTGACACGGTGGACACCGAGGACGCAACGACCGGAACGAGATATCCGTCTGACGGTTGCAAGAAGTCCAGTCACGGCTCCGGGGACTTCGCAGAGCGCATCCGGAGCAAAAACGTCCCGGACCGTGAAGTCGGACGTGCAGGTGGTGGTAAATGACCCGAAGGCCTTGAGACGTCTGCCGCCGGTGTGCGCGAGCGAAAGAAGACAGAGAGCGAAAGAGCGAGAGAACGAAAGAGCGAAAGAACGAGAGAGCGAAAGAACGAGAGAGCGAAAGAGCGAGAGAGCGAAAGAGCGAGAGAGCGAAAGAGCGAGAGAGCGAAAGAGCGAGAGAGCGAAAGAACGAGAGAGAGAGAGAGAGAGAGAGAGAGGAGGCGACTGACTAGTCGCTTTAACTACAGCTCCGTTCACGTAATGCGCTGCGGCTAATGATTTTCGATGAGACTCGCCCCGGAGGAACGGGTCCGCGTACACGGCGGAGCGACTTGTACCTCTTCTATAAATGGCCCGACTGTACGTTCGCTCGCGCTGTATAATCGCTCGCCTATTTTTAATAACTGTAGCGAGACACACCGAATACCTTCGCGCAGGGCCGTCCTGAGACCTTCGCGCGCCCTAACGCATACCCACTCGCACGCGGATACATCGAGTGATACGCCGAAGAATAAATGCACGATGAAGCGTGGGCTCTTCGAGGCGCGATTTCACGGCTAATCGAATCTCGCAGAGCGGTCTCCCGCAGACGAAGACTCTACGTGTATTTATTTTCTCCTATAGAGCGCTCACAAAGAATCAGCGAGAGGTGCCTGTAGCTCGCGTCAGGCACCTCTCGCTGTGCCTAACCTAACCTAGGTGCTGGAGACCGAGGATTGCCGTTTGGAGTTTGATCGATCCACACGAGCGAGATCGAAATCTGTTGGATTCGATCCGATTTTCGTCCTTCGCTTGCATTTCTCGACTCTAGCTTGATACATAAACTTGCTCCAGGCTCTGTTGCAAAATACTTTATGCGAAAAAAAAATATATATACAAAGAGAACGAAGAAGGATTGTTACGACTTGACCCCCGATAATATCTTCGTTAGGTTTGAAGATTGTACAGACAGACAGACAGAGAGAGAGAGAGAGAGAGAGAGAGAGAGAGAGAGAGAGAGAGAGAGAGAGAGAGAGAGAGAGGGAAAAGACACATCTGAATAATTTCACTTTCGGAATTTCCCCATAGGGCCGCATGTGATCTTACGGATAAAAGTTCGAAAAAACATGCTACATCCGGTATTTGATGTCTTTTGATCTACCATCGATTGTTTCCGGTTTAAATCTCAAACGACAGTTGGGGTTGCGGGGTTGTCTTTGATGGCAAGAGAGAACGTGCGTTCGTGCGGGGGGCACGTCGAATAAATTTGACGGAAAGATTTCAAGGCGCACGCGAAAGTCACTTGAAAAGGAGAGCAAGACGCGAGAGAGAGTGAAAACTACTGAATGAAGTAACGAGAATAGACAATGAATAATCCTGAAATATGACAATCGGACGATTAAAGAGCCATTAACACAGACTTGCAATTATACTTCTGAGGATGCAGCACGATGCTTGTTAACATGGCAGAGGCAAGCTACGGAGGAGTTCATCGCATTCGTATGATATTCTCGGTGAAATGAAGTAATCGCAAAGTACCTGAAGTCAAATAAGATAAAACGCTCAGAGTCGAGCGTAAAATACTTGAAAATTCGATCTTATCCGACTCGAGGCTTCAGTTCTATTCAAGACTTCCGCTTCTTCATCGCGAAGGCATTCTCGAACGTTAAAGACGTACACTTACGCGATATCAGCGGACAAAGCTGCACGACAAAGCAGCATCTAAATGGACGATAAGACGACGGTACACATACGAGACACCGGCGGTCAAACGAATGAAGGTATCAGCGTGGTCGATGATGAAGTCAACAAGGGAACAATCATTTCATAATAATGAAGACGTCAGCGCGGGTGTCGAAGCGAACACGGGGGACTGGGTATTGTCGTAGTGCAAAGGGTACTAACCTGAAGTGAAGGCCGCGACGACCAAGAGCAACAAAACGATCTTCATGTTAGCGTGCCGATTACTGCTGGCAGTTGGCGATCAAGCAGTCGTTTCCGTTTCCGACTCTCTCTCTCTCTCTCTCTCTCTTTCGTCTTTCGGAATACACCGGATGTTAGTGCGTTAGGGTCGCGTTCTCGGACTGGCCTCGCGCTGCGCCGTGGGCCCCCTTAAGAGTCTTCTGCCCGGATCCCGGAGGAGGGGGTCGTTGAAGATGATTCACTGGCTAACCTAGAGCCAGGACGAGGGAGCCCAACGCGAAGGGGACGGCGGCGGCGGCGGTTGCTGTGGCTGTGGCGGTGGCAGCGGCGGCGGCGGCGGCGGCAGCGGCGGCGGCGGCGGCGGCGGCGGCGGCGGCGGCGGCGACGACATGGAGACGAATCGAAAAGTAATCGAGCCACGCCGCAAAACAAAAGGGAAAAGAGAATAAAAAGCAGAGGAAAGGGGGAGGAGGAAAGAAAGCGCTCGCGCTCGCGAACCAGGTGACAAGGTCGAAGGAAGGGGACACAATGGATGTCTAAGGTGAACAAGGCGCGGAAGGTATGACACTCCGCGATCGATGACGCCACGCTCGATTTGCCACGGGACTTGTGGTCCCCTCTCCTCTTCCCGCGCCTCCTCTTCTTCCTCCTTGCGCTCCCTTGGCCGGCGAAGATGATGTGCAAATTCGAGGGTATACATTAAAGGAAGCCGAAGAGACAGGTATATATCCCTTCTCGACCGCAAAGTGTTCGGATAGGTAATCATGGGTTCGGCGGCTCGGGGGATCTCCGTCGACAGATGAAACGATGATGAGACTCCTCGGACGAGACACGTGACACGTTGCTCTTGATCGCGCTGTTTGGCGCGATCTCGCCGACCGGGTGTGTCGGATGTAAAACTCCGACGCAGCGAGTCGCCCTGACGATCTGATTGTTATCCTACGGACGGAGCGTCCTCGTTTTCAGCTTGCTGATCAGTTAATTAGTCCCCGTCGATCGTTAAGCCTGACGGCAAAACCTCCCCCTGAAAATTGCGTTAAAAGTCAAGCGAAATGCAGGACGATGATTGCAGTCTATGACAAGTGATTTAATCAATTTTAAATCAATTTTTCGACGATGCACACACACATACACACACACACACACACACACACACATATACACGCGCGATGTTACTCGAGCACGAAATGAGCGTGTTACCGTCAGAATTAAGGCAAATAGTCGTTTTTGCAAACAAGAACGAGGCAATGCGCTTTACTCGCTTCGTTTGCGCGCGCGCGTATATCGCTCGTTGACGCGATTGTAAATTAGCGCAACGTGCGATCTCACATCGGGTTAATTATATTAACTAGCGCAGTCGTCGAATGAGTAATGCCCGCTCGGCAAAAAGGTATAATCCATTTGTAAGTGGCGTTTCGCGTGGACGTGAAATAATGGAAGTGCGAGTAATAGCAAGAACATCGTTATCCGCATATCGATCAATGTAGCGTTTATGTTAATCCCATTAATAACATCCTCACCCTCGTCCGCGCCCGCGCGCCCGCTCTCACTTTGTTCCCGTAAATCCTCCTCTCTCCTCTCCTTCCCCCCTCTCCCCCCTCTCTCTCTCTCTCTCTCTCTCTCTCTCTCTCTCTCATCTCTCTCTCGACGCGTCGTGACGGCGGTTCTTTCACTCGCGCTGCGGAATTTTACATTGCCGCGTCTTCACGCTTCTCCGTGGATTTGTATCGACGGTGAGTAGCAAAAAGACGCCGGCTTCAAGGCAGACTTCATTTCAGAACGCCTCCTCGGACGCGGTCTCCGCGTACGGTCTCTCCCCGATATCATCTACTATCGCGAAAAATGCCGGCACTTCATTCGTCAGCGAGACTACGCCGGTCCCGGCTCCCCGGCGCTAATTGTAACAAATCGCTCGACATCTGAGAGCAGTAAACCCGTAAATTACGTCTGCAAACTCTGCAAACAGCAAAAGTCGCTCTCATTCGCTGCTCACAGTGTATCCCCGGCACATACATATCTACGGCCGCGGTACCGCGGAGCCGGCGATTATCCGGCAAGTCCGCTCGATGGCGGAGCCGCGATAGCGAAATATCAATCTGTCCGGGGCAGCGTCGCTGAAGAAGAACAAGGCAAGTTTAACCGCGCGCGCTCCTCAGCGAAATCGCGATCGAGCCGAGCTTGTTGGAAGCCTGCTCGTACGTACGCCCCGTTCGACATGCTTCAGCAGCGGCGGTCGCAAAGGAGAGATGACGACGGTGAAGGCATCGTGGGTGAATCCTCTGGTCTCTCTCTCTCTCTCTCTCTCTCTGTCTCGCGGCTTTTCTGCCGCGGCCACCGCGGCGGCCGGAGACTTTCAACCGGTTTCCATCTTCGCAGCCCTTGGCGCCGTCTATTCTTGCATGCTTCTTCCCGCGCGCTCGACTTCTTCCCGAGGCGCGGGCATCATCTCTTTCTCTCTTTCTCCGCGCGGCGTCCGATGGAATTCTGGTTCACCGGCACTCGCGGCATCCGCGCGGCCGCACGCTTCGCCGATGCCGCGGTGCCGGCGCGGCGCGTGCGAAGGCTACCACCACCGGCCGCGTCTCAATTAAGCCCTTTCGCGTGATTAATGATACAAGATATGTATCGGAGCGTCCCGTCGCGTCGCGTCGCGTCGCGTCGCGTCGCGTCGCTCCTCGAAACGGGCAGCGTATTAACGAGTTATCGCATTCCTCGCGAGTGCCAGGCGTCCATTTGCGTCCGCCGCGTCGTTGATCGTTTCGTGCTGCGCCAAGCTGTATTTCTTCCCTTTTTCCTTCCACCCGGGGTTAGGGGGGGGAGGGGGGGAGGGTGGGTCGCAGCACCGCACCCGCACGAAGCATCGCACTGCGCGGCTATTCACGATACTCCGTAATCTTAATGAGCACGAGACAGCGATATTTCATCCGGAATATGTCGCGTCGCTTCGTCTTTTCCTTCTTCACGTCCCTTCCTCATCGGCATCGAGCCGAGGCACTTTCTCGGTAGTTGAAATTCTCCGCTTTATCGCGCCATCCTCGCGCCCATATTGACAACGAGGCTCTCTCTCTTTCTCTTTCTCTCTCTCTCCCTCTCTCTCTCTCTCTCTCTCTCTCTCTCTCTTTCTCTCCTCTCTCCTCTTTTCCTCCTCTTCGGGAAGGAAGAAACTCGCGACACGTCAGCACCTCTCTAAGTGTCGCTAGTAGGAATTCGCCGGTTTATATCGCGGCGTTGACTACCCCATCAGCGACGAACGGGGAAAAATATTATTTGTTTATGAGTCTCCATCGTTTCTATTTCGATAGGCGACTCCCTACCGGTTTCTGGCGCCAGTTGACTCTCTTCTTCTTGTACTCTTTTTAAGGGATGCCTGGCGTACTCGTGTAGTACATAGAGGAGGAAAAAGACTCGTCTCTCTTCCCTTTGCGCGAACGTGCAGGGTGATTCTTTACTTGAATGCGCATTCTCCGCGGTTGACGATGTCGTTCACCTTCCTTTTCGCAAGCGTGAAGCATCCAGCCAGCAGCATAGCAGAATAGCGAATTCTGTCAAATGTCACAATATTCTCTCGAACGACTACCTCGTCTGCTCCACCACGTGTTCCACCATGACGAGCGTTTCCCCTTCGCTCGCTCTCGTACAGGGTTATTAATAGCTAACAAACAACGTCGTGCTCGTTCGCGCGCTGAATCAATGAAGCCGTAACGTCGGTATCGTATATATCGGCGCGAGCCCATATCGATAACGAGGATCGCAAAAAGGTAGCCGCATTCTCAAGGTAGGCTTCATTTCTTCGACCATGCGCGTTCTGCGGAGGGTTCCACCTGCTGTCGGAATACAGGCAGCGATCGGCTCGTCTCTTCTCTTTTCTTCTCTCTTCTCCTCTCCTTTCCTCTCTTCTCCTTTCCTCTTCTCTTCTCTTTCCTCCTCTCTCTCTCTCTCTCTCTCTCTCTCTCTCTCTCTCTCTCTCTCTCTCTCTCTTTCCTCTTTTCTTCTCTTCTCTTCTCTTGTCTTGTCTTCTCTTCTCGTCTCTTCTGTTCGTCGCTGAGTTTCTTCGCCCAGCCACGCTCGTTCGATTACGATATGGAACCGGTACGAGCGGCGCTCTCTCTCTCCCTCTCTCTCTCTCTTTCTCTCTCTTTTTCTCTTTTTCCCCTCCTCTACTATCTCTCTTTCTCTCGATCATTGTGCGTATCCTAGAAAACGCCATCTTCTCTCTCTCTCTTTCTCCGCTCCCCCGCCGACGTTTCTCACCCTCTTTGTCGTCGTATACGGTATTATCTCCCTCTGTCTCACTCGCTCGAGAGCAGCGAGAACCCGGTGGCGGAATCGCCGGATCAATGATCAGAGGCGATGTGTTATTTCTGGTACGCGGCGCGATCTGTGCGGGCGATCGTACAAAAAGGACCTCGCGTGACATCCGAGACCTACCGCACCACGGAAACCGTCTCTCTCTTTCTCTCCCTCTCTCTCTCTCTCTCTCTCTCCCTCTCTCTCTCTCTCCCTCTCTCTTTCTCTCTCTCTCTCTCTCTCTCTCTCTCCCTCCCTCCCTTTTTCTCGCTCTCTTTCTCTTGCTCTCCTGCCGACTCCATGTCGGTATCCTCCTGTGTAGCACGATAGGACGCCGCGTCGCGAGCTTAATGACAGGGTATACACCGCGCGGCTGTTTCCTCCACGACCGCGATTCAAGAATGCTGATGAATCGGCCGGACGAACGCAGCCGGTGGTGCGCCTCGAACCTGGCATTCTGCGGTCGCAAGCATCTCGCTCCGAGTTCCGCCGCAAACGCCTTTAATGCAAAATGCGGTTTGTTAACGCGGGAGAAAGAGTCGCCTCCTTTCTCCTTTCCCGTTTCGTTTGCTTTCGTGCGCGCGAGATTCGACGAGAGCCGAGTGGTGACTCGCGTCTCTTTCGTCGCTCTCTTCCCTGCCACTCTCGCAGAATAATAACCCGGTCGACCGGGTTTGTTGCCGATCGATTAACGTTCGATCTGGCATTCGTTGCGCCGCGGCCGTTTCGGCGGACGTCGGATTTCTGTGTACGGCGAGAGCACACGCCATGAATATGCCCCGGCTCGTAACTCGCGGCGCTAGTCACGTTTCGCCGGTACCTTGGTATAGGTCAGTTTAACAGGTTGAGTTCCCACCGCGGTGTACTCCCGT